ACTGCAACTTAAAAGATCCAGCACTGGAAACAACTCCAACATTTGCACAGCAGCTCTGAGTCTCACATTATTGATTCTGCCTTTAATGCTGTTCTGTGGTCACTGCTGAAGTTGTGTACAGCAGGAGGGTCACAGACCCGCTGCAGCCTCTCTGACACCCACACGCTAGCAGGCTGGCTCAGGAACTTGTGCACGTTCCTGGGATGGCATTTCACCTCTTGGTGCTTTTGTAGGGCAAGGGAAGGTACAGCCCCAACCCTGACCTTATTAGACTGAGGCTGGAAAAGAATGGCAGCCACTGCCATTTTCTAACAGAAACTGAAATGTCATCTTTATGTCCCAAAAAGCACTAAAATCTGATACTAAAAAATATCACAAGCTTTTCTGCACCTAAAAAATGCAAATCTAACTATCCAGCTTCTACCACGTTTTTCCAACATGTACTGTGTATCAAATACCAAGCACAGATCTGCAGATGATCGTCACAGCATGTGCTAGACCTAACAAACTATAATTGAATGTAGATATGAAAGAGTGGGACATCATGGGTGACTGGAGTTAAAGCTGTTACAGAAGTTATGAAGTGGACCTGCAGCGACTCCCAGCAACAGAATGAGTGTGTTTGCATTAGTAATGGCCCTGTACAGCTGTTTAACCTGCAAACCTTTACCAAGCAGAAGATGACTGGATAAAAAGAAGAGTGTATTTGATCTTTGCAGGGATGATTTAAAGGAGAAAAATTAGGATATTTTAAAAAATTAAGCTGCCCCTGGAATTTCTCACATATTTTTAACTAATGAAAGACTCAGCTGCTTACAGGAACTAAAACAAATAGGTAGAATTTTCATTCCTTACTAATAACAAATTTTGCTTTTGATCAATCATGATGAAAAGTTTAAGGGTTACTAGACGCAAACAGATTTATCATAAGACTGGGACTTATCACAAAGAGTATAATTATGATTATCAAATCCACTGCACAAGAGCAAAGGGTGTAACAGATGAACAAGACAAATACAGGATCTCAGAAGTTTTATTGAAGCTCATCCCTGACACTGAATCCAGAGCTGAAGTTTCTGGCCTTGACTGGGCGATTCTTGCAATTTTTTTTATTAACAGCACCCTATACACAGTTCCTGTGAGTGCTTGTAGACTTACAGTTCTTGGATGAAATTTTGACATACATGAAAGAGATCCAGTTCTTTCTCAAACGAGTGTTAAATTTGCATTCATGTGTTTGTCATTTAAAGATTTTTTTAGATATTGGTCTATTTATAGAGTAAATTGCAGATTTTCTAGCAAGTTGCAGGAACACTATCTTATGCAAGATAACATATTAATAGGATATATATTTCTGTAAAGGTTTGTCATAAAGAAGTTAATACTGCTTTATTCTCAGTGTAAACGTGACCCAAACCATTTCACTTTGGCTTTACGAGCTTCTAACTAAAAGTCTTACTCAATCACATTTCTAAATGTTGTCCTTCGTGTCTTTACCTGGCTTATATGCAGGAAGAAAACAGTTGTCTGTTTTATTCCCTCTCCTTCAGTTTTACTGTTGAGACCTGTTATTGCAGTAATTCACACCAGAACACCATTCTTTGTTCAAAAGAAAAAGACAGTGTTTTGTACTTTAGATGGATGTTGCATTTTAGAAATGTAAGAACATTATTGTTTCAGTTTTCTGGAGATCAGATGAGCCCTTATTGAAAAGTATAAGGAAAATATTGATGCTTCTGTATATGTTGCAGTCAGTTATTCTGATACAGAAATAAAGGATGGATGCTGCTATGGACAAATTATTGCATCAAAGTCACTTGCAGAGAAGTTTATCAAGTGATTTCCCAGTTCAGTGCATGAACTTTTAGGCTACTCATTAGGCAAGTGTTAAGATAGCAGGTCTAAATACCATAGGCAGAAGAATCAGGGCATGGTTTTTCTCCTGATAGTAAAAATTTTCACAAACACTACTTTGTAACATACATCACCATTATATATTTACAGATAAGGCACCAAAAAGGTGATTAATTTGAAGCCTCATTTTTTATGTTGGATCTCATTGACTTAATTCCATATTAATTTTATTCATTTCAAAGCATGTTTATTGGTGTTTAATAATCAGTTATTTAATAATGTGACAGCATAGTTGTACTTTTGGTGACTGTAGTGAAGAGGTGCACTACTCTTCACATTCAAATTCCAGGCTTTATGTTTTTGTTTTGTTTTTAACTGGAGCATATACAGCGTTTCCTCAGACTACCTGCACAGTTACCTTGTTTTAGGGAGATGCAACATACCTTGGGAATCTTTTAATACTAGCAGGCTCAGCAAGTAGTCCATGCAGCTTTTCTCCATGATAAGAATAGCTGTGGGAAGGTTGAAGAATATAAAGAGGAAAAAGAAAAAAAAAAACAAAACAACTATCTGCACTTCAAAGATTCCCTTCAGATGAAGCAGATAGAAAATCCACATAGATTATTGCAGAAGCTGTAGGTGAAATTAAAAGTTGCCATCTTCAATATATGCATTTGCCTGAAGTATTGTCTATGTTTACATATTCTAGGGCAGACACAGCTGTAAAGATATATATTGCTTTTATTCTTTAGTCTGAAAGTGTTGGGACTTTAAAGTTGGGGTCTGTTAATACTGAGATCGCATTTACAGTCCAAAGAATTATGTGTCCAGCATGTAGCAATCTTGATTATGTTCCGGTCAGGATGTGGGGAAGATGCTATTAGAAACAAAACCATCAATTCGCTTAGACAGTCCCACAAACACGCTTTATGGCATCTGCCTCCTACTCATTTTAAGTGAGGTTTATAGTGACACATTGGTGAAGATTAGTACACAACTGCAGGCAGATGCCCATGACTGATTCAATTGTTTGCACTGACACTCACAATTGCTGTAATTGCAACTGAAGTGATACAAGCCATTGCAAAAAACAGACAAAGTGAAACCAACATTGTTCCACAGAGATTTTATTAGTTGAAACCCAGAAATGCACAATTGACTGTTTTTTCTTGGTATGAATTCACCGCAGCATTTTCATTTGCTAAGCCTGCAATACTGTCCTCATTGATTTAACATAAGATCCAAAAGGCCTCTTTAAAAACAGAACTTGTACAGTGAAGGCAATACATTCCAGCCTCACTTGTTTATAAAAAAATATTTTTTTAAAAAGTGATTAAAAGATAAAGCAGCAAATCATTTTTAGAAAATCAGTAGGAACTTAATGTGATCCTAAGTAAAGGATATTTCTAAGCTCTAGCTTTCCTGCATGCTCCAAGTGCAGCTACCATTGTTCCTTTCCTCTTTTCCTCCTGTAACTGCTTAACAGCATTCATGTTCAAAGCTGGTACTTCTGGAGAGGCGTGACCATCTTCTACAGCCTCAGGAGAAAGAGAAAATGGATGTTTAGAACTAGGCAGTATCCAAAACCTTCCTGAGAAGAGACTATCTTGTACCCTGCCAAGCAAGTTCTCACATGGTACAGAAGACTTCCTTCAGACTGCCTACACGACTGATGGCTCAGTCCAAAGGAATTAATAGATGATCCATGTAGGAGTTGAGGATTTAACACATTCAAGAATAGTGACTTTTGCAGACATATTTCACTGAAAATGGAAATACCTTTGCAACATAACCCATATTCTGAAGGTATTTTTAGCATCTTCATCCTGGACACTGGAAAACTTAAATTTAAATGCTTGAGACTGATTATATCTAATCCTCCTACATCAGCTAAAAACAAAGAAAACCCCAAAACTTTACAGGAAAGCAAAAAATGCCCGATTCTGTCCTATGTTCACTTAGACCAGTACACAGTGATGAAAAAATGCTGTTGGTTCCAGTTGCAGTTTCCCACTTAGATACACATGAATTTACTGACACTGATCAAATGGGACACCCAAGTGGCAGGGTAGCCATGGATGCAGCAAAACCTTCTACTCAATTTTGTGTTAATTTTATTAAATAAAGGAGATAATCTCCTCCCAGTATTTAAATTGATATTAGACATGCCAATATATTGGAGAAGAGATACCTAAATCAACAACGTATTGCATCAGAAAGGAGTTCTGAGAAATGAAAGGCAAGTGTTTTAAATGTCTCCAGTTACAGTACAGCACTGGAGAAGGTCAAACGCCCAGACAAGTTTCCTCTAAAGAAACTTGTCAGATGTGATGCTTTGAACACAAGGCTCACACCCACCTCACAGCCAGAGAAACACACCTTGTACGTTTGCAGCACAGAAGAGATTCATGCTGGGAGTCCACGTCAGAGACAACCAGGCAGCTACATCTAAGGTCTGAGTAAGAGAGGGCCCCTCGCCTGTCCTGTGCCCGGAGTGGGAGCAAGACCTCGGCAGAGCTCTCTGCTGAAAGGGAGCCTTCTGCAGTCTACAGCTAACTCCTCTCTATTAACAATCTGCCCCGCATTTCCCGTGCTGCTTGACTATATGACATTAGAAGATGGGCTGGTGTAAGGGGCTCCATTAAAGGTAGAGGGAGAGCACAGGTGGAAATGCTGCAGGTACCATAGTAGCACCTCCTGAGTGGGAGGCGGTGCAGCTGAACGGCTGTGATGCCCTCACAGCTCCTCCTGAAAACCAGGCCTGGCAAAGTGTCTGCTAGAAGGCATTTCCTCTAATGCTGGCAAAGCAGAGGAGCAATTTATTGGAAGGGGCCAACAGAACAAGACATTGTTACCCTCAGTGGTCTTCTTTTGGTAGTGTTTAGAATCCCAACCAAGTTCAGAACCACACTGTTGAATGCACCATAAAAAAGCACTTCCAGGCTCAGGCAGAAAGAGGAATAAACATTAGCCCCACTCTACAAAGAAGGATTAAAGTACTCAGAGTTTTATCAGAAACTAAGGCAGGGAGAGCAACTGAAGCCAGATGCCCTAGGGTGAACTAGGGCTTAAATGCAAAATCCCCCTGTATATGCTGATCTGGACATTTCAGAAATCTAGCACTTGAAAACAAGATCTTACCTTCTTTACTGCCTTTGTCTAAAGAAGTCAAGAACCTCCTTATGGCCTGTAGCCTCTGCCTGTAAGTAGAAACATGAATAAATTCTGCCATCCTGTGCACCAGGACATGCAAATACTTACTTGTGGGAAGTAAGAATATGTTACCACAAAATCATTAAAATCCAATTTAAATTTTAATTTCTCTGACATAGATGAGAAAATTCTGGCTCCAACAATTTATTACTATGGAACAGCACCAGGCTCAAGTTTGTAACAAACTCTAATCCAGTTTATAGTCCCCAAAGCAGCATTTACTTTTCCCAAACTAATATTACCCGACAGCGTGCATTATTACTCACACAGCCAGCACGCCATACAGAATACAGTCATGTGCACACTTACTACTTGTAGGGGACTCCTGCCATCATAACCAGTTTGCTTCAGGTCTGCACCAGCTAGGAACCAGGCATGCAGCCCATCCACATCGCCTATAGCTGTAAGGCTGCAAAAAGAATAATTAATATTTGTTCTAAATCTTTCATTGCATTTCAGTGTGCTCCTGGGTCCTGTCAATTAGCTCAGCAGGCAAATGCTGAACCAGAACAGGCTCAACATGGCTGCCAGGGGAGGGAGGTAAGTAAAGGAACACGATTACAACAGCTTTGAATAGCTGAGCAAGCAACACAGCTTGATGAATCAGTTCCTTAAATTAATAGGGCTGTGCTATAAGTACTTACAACAGGCTAGTTTCACATAGTGGGTGTGACTATGACCAAAGGGGAAAAAAAGTCATGCAGTTTCATATTTCACAACACAATATTTATCTCATGAAATGAGTTGGGGGGAGGGCAATGGCTAAATCAAGATGCAGCTGAGTAAGAGCGAGCACAAGCAGATGTGCTAGCAACCAGTGTGCCTTACTGAAAACCAGTAAGAAACCCCCTTCCTAAGTGTGCATAGCTATGTTTGCCATCAGAAGTTATGACAGCATACTTACGTGATAGCATTTGGACAAGTAACACAGCTACAATTTTTTGAGTTTTTAAAGATAATTTGTAAGATTTAAATGGACAGCAAGCAAAGAAAAATCTTTTTAAAGATGACTTCTACCTGCCATGTATAACAAGCAATAGAAAGGATCAAAAATAATCATATACAAATAAGTGAGTTAAAGTTTTCAGAGGACTCTACACCAGATTGTTTCTTCACACATCTGCTGGTAGTCCCATCCATAATACTTAAGGTTCATTTTTAACTTGTATTTTGGTAAAAGAAGGGCTAACAGCCTGTACATATGCAAAAGCATGACCATTGGTACCAAGCCTGTAGACAGGCTGAAGTGACAGCAAGGCTGGGAGAACTACCTTCAGTTTTCTCAAAATACCAAAATCTGTCAGGCTCCAGCCCTGAGCTTGCCGTGCACTCGCAGATTGTTTCAGCAGAACCATGCCGATAATCATCAAGTGAGGCTGAATCTCATTAAGAGAGGGGGAACCCTCCCGAAACTCATTAAGTTCAGAGTTTGCTGCCTTAAACAGTGCTTGCTGTGAGGGAACAGCATACTGCTGGCAGCAGGGATGGAGGACGGTGACGGGTTCCTGGGTACGACAACCAAGCCAGGCAGACCTGGTGGAGAGTGGAGAAGGCTGGAAGATGCAAGGGGCAGACAGGCAGGTAAGCTTATAGAAGAAATCCTGAAAGCAAGGCTGCAACATTCACTTCTCTGGTAGGCTGAAATAACTTCTGTTGTTGATTACATCTCTTTAAGTACCTGAAAAAAATATTTGCAGGGGAGTGGAAGCCTCTAATTGCAGCAGTCTGAGGAGAAAGTCAGACAGAGGCTTCTGCTTGCAGCAGTCCCAGAGGTTGGGCAGGAAAAGGAAAAGCAAATCATCTCTGTATTCCTCCATGCAACCCTACCAACCCCAAGGCAGGGCAGAAGACCTACAGACGGGGCCTTTGTGGGACAGGGAAGTGGCAGTGGGGTGCTGGGTTTAACACTGCTTCAGTCTGACATCATGAAGAAAAGGATCAATAAATAATTAATGAAAACTGTCATCATAAAAAAGGCCCTTCAGAAGCAATAAGAAAATCGAGGAAGGCAAAGGAGGTCTCACAGGAAGCTCAGTGCAAAGTCCTTAAGGAAACTGCAGGAAAAAAACAAGCATTAACAAAGAAAATGTGTAAGTGTTAGTAAAGCAGAGAAGAAATTGCCTAGCAGCCACTTCTGGAACACAAGAGTTATCTTTATTTAAAGACACATCTCTTGCCTTTGACACTGGAAGGTCCCAGGATTAAGGAAGAAACAAACAAAAAGCAAGTGAGAGTTATAAGCATCTCCAACACTGGACAGGAAAACACTGTATTTGCCAAACAGAATCTCCTCGTTCAGCCAAATGCAAAGTGGAAACCACTTTGGGCAAAGACCAGCACATTTAGGAATATTACCAACCTACATATCCAGGGCAATTCAGCTAGCATCACTGAAAGCTACAAACAAGGACTACTGCATCTACTTGAAAATTAACTGCCTAATAGCACCCGTTCAGAAAGAGCAATTTAACCCACACTTCCAGAGGTCAGCACTGTGGAGTGGTCTCCTTCTGTGACATTAGAGCAATCCAAATAGAAAGAAGTATTTTCAATTTTCCAGCAGCCATTTACTAATCAAGTGAGAAATGTATTTTATAGGGACTGTGACCCAGAGAACAAAAAGTGACATAGCTTGTGAGAAAATTCAGATAGCACTCTAAATAGAAGATACCTACTATTCACTAAATTGATTATAATCAAGAACACCACAAAACATTTTCTCCAATTTCAGATCTCTGTAGTCAAGCCAAACCCATCTGTATTTCCTTTACACACTGTAAGTGTACTTCATATAGTCAAATATATATATAGGACTTCTCAACATACGCTATAGGGACCTTTGCTCTTTATTTTTCTCAAAGATATTTATGTCAGCAATTCCAACTACAAGAGCATCCTCTAAGCAGCAACTCCATCATTTGTATATCATGGAATAAAAATAACTTCAATATACACTTATCAGGATGTTTAAAACCTGCTTTGTTGACAAAGAACTACTTAATCACATTCTACTAAACTCTGATACCATTTACAGCAGATAATCCCAGGTGTGCTGCCTATCAATACTCATCAGTTAGAAAAAATGATCATCTACCCTTTTCACAGTTTCAGCACGGCTAACAGAGCCCTGATGGTGACAGAGCTGAGATATCAAGAGTAGTGATAATGCAGTTACACTCACTGATTTTGTGCCTGCTGTCACACTAGCATCAAGCAAGCTCGCTTATGGGAGCAGCTCTTTAAGGGGTGCTCTGTTACTGTCAAGGTACCAAGAGTGAAGCTGCTCAGGTCTTAGAGAGTTTAGGAGGGCAAGGGCCAATGTAGTTTTAGATCTGGGAAGTAATGAGCACAGTGAAATGCCACTTTGTGGTTCCCTCCTGCATCCTCGGGTACTAGGATTTCATCTTTCCCAGGGACACAAAGCTCTGCTTTTTCAGGGATTCTCCTTTTTCAGCATCTATATAAAGCGATCAGAAAAGACTTTCTTTTTTTAGGTGTATCATCACCCTGACAGGAAAGAAAAAGGTTTTTTAAATCTTTTTTTTTTCTAAATGAAAATCCTCCAAAAGCAAGTTAAAAGTCCAGCACAAGGCATGGTTTGTTCTGCAATGAACACATTTTGGAGTGCTGCTTCTAGCTAGTATCTCCACGTCTCTCTCAGTTGAGACAAACAGACTTCTTTGAAAGACAGAAGGCATTAGAAGTTTGGTCCTAATTACTGCAGAGGCATATTTATTCTTCCTCCCCCAGCCTTGCCCCCAAAGTTTATGTTAAATTGAAGAGGCATCTTATTCTGAACGTTGCTGATTTTGAAAGGCTATATCCTTGTATATTATATCATATCATTTTATGAAATCTAACAATATGAAAGAGAAATCTGGTTTGGCTTTATGCCCCTACTTAATTTTGTAAAGTACAGACTTGAACAGAGTATCTCAATTCTATATGGGCTTTTTGCTTTTAAAGAACAAACACAAAGCAACTGTTAACCAACTCCAGAACTTGACAAGCCTTCAGAGTAAGTCTGAGTGTCCCAATTTATCTAGTCACAGTTTGGTTTTGTAGACAGATGACAATACTACTGCAATATGAGAAGAGATTCTAACATTCTTAACAGATTACTAACATTGGGACTTCTTTTTCATTTCAAAACAAAGCCAGGAACCAGATACCAACATCAACAAAATAATTCTAAAAACCAGACTAACACCTCTCACTTAAAAAAGAAACCAGCAAGTGAAACAATGAAAGATTTAATAACTAGATCATCTTGGCTGCACCTACGCGCGTCTCCACTTCCTACACAAGAGTTCCTGCAGCTAATGTCCAAGTCTCGGTTCTGGTTGGTACTCCTTTCCCTCTCAAACATCACCAATGCCAAAGGAGCACATTTATTTTTATTTTATCTCCAAAATCTTCCAACCGAACTATTATATTCTATTCTAAAATAATGAGTCTAAACAGAAGGAATCTGAGGAGACAGTATTAGAATACAAAAATCACTGTTCATGGTCTTTTATGAAAGCCAGTTTGTTTGAGGATAGGTAAGTACCAAGGGGGGAAACACAATTATAGCTTCTAATTCTGAGAGAACTGTATGGGAGAAAAAAGTTAAGTAAGTTAGCTAAGTGCAGAAACCCAGAGCTCATCAGAAAGCAAGCAGCTTTGTCCTTGTAAGCCCCAAAAAGTTGACATACTGCCTTGGTGACAAATTCAGACTGGTACAAATTGCAGCTTAAGGCAAATTACGAGATAGAAGAGATGTAGGAAAATAATTCAAATTAGACAGAGGGAAAATGTTATAAACAGCTTGTTCTATTAACAGCTTGACCATGTGAACACATTGACTGCCATGAAGGTGCCAGTGCAAAGAGAAGGCTTAAAAGGAGGAGGTAAGAGGTAGGACAGAGAAGTGAGCCCAAGCATGCTGGAAAGATGAGTGTATCAGTCCAGTCATCTGAGAATATTCCAGAAACAGTATCTGAGACATTTTGGCAGGAGGACAGGCACCAGTACCTCTGGTTTAGTAACTTTTAGCATCTGAATAATGCTCTGTGCAAAAAGTCCACTTCAGTGGAAAAGACTATGCTGGCCCCTTTAAAAGAGCAAGAGGATAGAAAGCCCTTCAGCTCTGCAGGAGTAGTGTATGGAAGAGCCACCAGTGTATGGAAGATTCACAAACTCTTCAGCGTTGTCTGGAAGCCTGACCACTGCCTTAGGCTGCCTGTGCTCTTGGTACAGGCTGTGCAGGGATGTCTGTCGAGGGCACACCTCTGGCTGCTACTCCAGGCTGGTGGCCCTGGCTCCTGACCTGCACCAAGGTGCGAGAGCCTCTTCATCTCACCCTGTGGACACCACTCTGTGCCGAGTCCTCATTCAGCCTCTGCACACAGGTGCACTCCCACCCTCTGGAAGATTTACACTGGTTTTATCCTAAACTTATTACCATCAATGCAAGTTCAAAATATCTTAAATGTTTATTACCAAAATACCAGCTTTGAACAACAGGACATCATGCAATATAGATGCAGGGTGTAGGATCCTCCTTAAAATGCCGTTAAAAACTGCATCAGAACCAATTTTTGTTTAAAGGACCTGTGTTTTCTTCTTTTTTTGTTGTTTTTTTTGGACATACTGCTCCTAGGTCAGCTAGCTAAACTGGTTCGGCACATTTCCACACGTGGCACCAGCGTTAAGTAAGGGGACAGTTTATTTGCAGAGGAACATCATTCCCTAAGCCACTCCTCTCGCCACCTTGGCAGATGGAAACTATGCAAACCAAGGGTTTAGTTCTGTCCTATCACTTTCAGTGCCCTGGGAAGTGCATATTTTAACTACAAGGTAAAAGTCTTATTACCCAATCTTCACTGCGAGCATTACGACAACAAAAACACTCCAGCTAGTATTTTTTTATTCCAGAATTACTCAAAGGACAGAGTCCAGTCTCTATACAGAACACATATAAGCTTTACCTTGACCTTATAGTTTTGTAGACAATATACAGCATTGACTGGTTCCTACAAGTCTTATGGTTTCCTGCCAAGTCTTGATATAAAGGCTGGCACTCAGAGGTTTTTTGTTTGTTTTTGAGAAGAAGAGAAGAAGAAATTCGGTAAAAACTGTGAGTAATTTTAAGAAATACATGAAACCTTCTTACAATTTTCAGAGTAATTTGTAATTCAGGACCAGTACTGGAAAAAATAAAATCAAGCATCTATTTATTTTCATAATATATATTAATATCATTAAACCACCTTATATATTAAAAGCAACCATTAAAAACCAGCTTTAACAGAGGATTATATCCTCTTAAAATTAAATGCAGAGACAGTGAGCAGTTGTTCAAAAGTTCTGGGGTTAAGCCTATTTGTCTGTTTGATTTAGTTATTTTTAAGAAGTGTTATATGCTAGTTAGAGTAGAAACCATTCCCCCATATAAGCGAAAAGTGGATTTTAAGTAAATAAAAATGATGCACTACGTGCAGCTTTATACTCAAATAGAGATGCTATTAAATCACGCTGCACAGCTTCCTCTTCACCCTTCCTCAGTATAAGTGCTTGGGAAAAACAGGACATGTTTGCTTCCAGTTCACTTATCCCAACAATACTCCCTACTTTGGAGTTCTCTGGAGTTTCTGGTACTCTGACATAGAGTTGATTTTTAATTTCATCACTTCACTTGTTTCCTTATTATTAGTCTAGCACAGAAATAGCCCCGTCGTGTGCCAGGGACCCAACTGCTTCTTGGAAGTTGTCTACATGCTGTTCTCCATTCTGAGAGTCTCTTCTCAAAAAATATCCCCCTCTATCCCAATTTTAGGGCCACCTCACCTCATATGACATTTACCTGCACAGTATTGTTCCAACGTTCTCCAAGTCATGGCTTGAAAGGTGCGCTCCCGTTTCTCGTAACAAATTAATCACTTCTATGTGCCTTTATGAAGGGAATAGAAAAAAAACTGAGAAAGTGTCTTGACCAGTAGGTTTTTTTTTCCCCCCTTAATTCAGCATTACTCATATACACAATCAATCAGTGGAAGTTCTTATATGATATTCACCACCATCACAGAACCAGTGAATCTTCTCCATTGTGACAGATGTAGCAACAGATGTGCCCTCCCCATCAAAAAATCATTACATACTAATCTCATGGAAGTGTCAAGTTCAGCTCTGAAAATGAAAGAGACTTCCTTTCTCTTTAAAGACTTTTTATTTTCTTTATCTTAGTGCTAGCTTAATTTAACACTTGACATATTAGTGAATTGAAATACACGCAAACAGTGAGGACATTTATTACACAGTATCATTCCTGTATTTTACAGAACACAATGCCCATATATATCAGTCTTAAATAAAATATATGTCTTGCAGACAAGCAATGAATCTTTAGGTTAATGTAGAAGCTAATCAGGTTTTTGGGGCTTCAGATTTGTGGTAAGTGTTCTTACAAACCTCTCACCACAGCACATCTTTTCCTAACGCCCTCCTCCCAATACCTTTATTATTTATTTCCACCTGGAGTCTTTAGGAGGTCTTCCTTGTCCTTTCCTTTGAGATAAAGGGACAAATAGATATCAGCACTACCAGCCAACTCCTATACCTTACTCAGACACTTGAGAAAGTCTATGGAAAAGGGCGGTCTGTAAAGGTACTGTTGTGGGTAGAAAATAACATAACAGATGAAAAATGTGCAAAATACGTTTTTCACAAGTGACCTAGTGAAAAGTTTAGAACTAGGTTCCACAAGGTGGTAACAATGTGATCTTCTGCCAAACAAGTGATCTAGTTCACAAATCCAAACACAGTTGTTGTCTCCAGAAAGAGCATGATGACACCAGTAGATCATGAATAGTTTCATAGTTCCTCTTTTAAGTAAGTTGCTATACCGTAACGCTTCAAAATAAAGAGTTAGGCATATAATTGTAATAGGAAATAGATGAGCTTTCCCCAACCCATTACCTAAAAACTCATCTGTATTAATTTTAAAAAAAAAGTTAATATACATGTTCTGCTTAATTTCTGCATTTTCTTGGAGGTAGCTATGGGCCTTTCCATTTTAGAACTGGACTAAACTGTTTATCTAATCCCTCTCCTTCTTTTTTAGGAAACTCCATTTTGAATGAGAAGTTACTTTACAGTTATCTGTATTAAACCTATGTAAGCTTATATGTTTCATATAAGATCTTAATTTATTAACTAAACAAAGAACTGTACAGATGCTATAGGGATAATTTTGCTTTTCCAAACATAGGTTATTTAACCTACCAGACAGTTTTTTAAGTTGTACTTTGTTTCAATTGACAGCTAAAAAAAAAGAAAATCTTTGTTTCATGGCAAAGCATTGCTGCAACAGCACATGCTGCAAGTTTGTTCAGTTATCTGAAATATTTTCTCAGGTGGGTCCCTTAAAACATGGCTCGTCATCCACAAGCATCTCCTTGAGCCAACAAATAATGTCACAGCTTCCTGTTTTTCAATCTGTGGTGAAGAATGGATTCTACATGTATGAAATTTTTAGGTCAGCCTTAAGCAGAACAGTAATTAGCTGAAAAGAAATTTGACCTAAAATAGATTAAAGTAGAACATGTCTGTTCACTCAAGCTCACCCTGGGTACAGAACTGAACATGGGGAGTGTCTGCTTACTCTCCAACAACTGCCCTGGAGCATTCCTCATTTCCCACCTTATACTCAAAATCACAGCATGAAACTAGTGCTTTTTAAAATAAAAGCTATGCTATGGGACAGCACTAAAAGATAAAAGGCAGCAAAGCATGTATCTTCCCTCAGTGTGCTTCCCACTATGAAATCTGTATCCATGGATTTAAGTGAAGGGCCAGGCTTTCTTTTCCTCAACTGTTTACTCCTCACTGGTAGCAAATGTCCTTCCAGAAAGCACTTTATGTCCCACCTACGCCACACAGCCATTACAGCTCTGAGTGGGACTCTATAAATCTTTGATGCAGACGGATTTGGGGGCATTTACCCCATATGTTTAATACAGCAAATTTAAATGAAGAAAAAAACTGGTTTGAAATAAAATCAATCTCTTAAGCATTGAAACTAACAGTTTTTACAATAAATGCTGACAATAAAATGTTTCTAACTAGAACTACAATGTCCCGATGACTGGAAATCATTCAAAATCACATTTCGTGGTATGGTGTGGAGTAGAGGAGACGCTGTATACCACTGCTTGTTAAGGGAAGGGTAAGGGAGAGGAAGAATTAGGACAAATAGTAACGTGCAACTTAGAAGTTGTAGTGACTGTGTTACACAGTTAGTACTGTGACTATGAAGAACACATCCGTCCAAGAAAGCAAACGGACGACCTCTCACATTCCCCTCACTCAACATGAAAACTATGCGGGAGGTAAGTTGCACTACAGCTTGTTCCTACTTGCACCCAAACAGTACCTACATTTTGCAGAAACTTAAACCCTATCCAGACTACCACTTCTGCTGTCTTGCACATACCACAAGAGCATTCTTCATATTTCAAGAGGCTGGCTGTGAATTTTCTGATATTGTTAAGTCTTAGGCACCTGAGAGATATTTGTCTTCAGAAGTTGTTTCTTTAAGTGCTGCTCTCCTGAGGCTTTACAAGAGACTCACAGTTTAGCTGGTCTGAAGTTCAGCTGATGTCATGAGCTATGAACTTCTTGGGAACAGTTCAAATGCAATTCCTTTTCTAAGGTGACAGCACAAAAGCAAGAGCAGAGCAACTGCTGCACAATGAAAGTTCGGGGTGTAGAGGGAAGGCCAATGTCACCATGTTAGCCTGGTGCACAGCTGCTTGTCCAGTGTAGCCCCATCTGATAAGCAAAACCATGAGGAGCTGTTGTCACCTGTGAACTGTCCCCAAGTCCCCCTTTTGTTGTTGGCTCTGTTGCCAAACAGTGGTTCTTGGTCAGGCATAGCCTATAGAAACAATGCTATTTTGCATATGGTACTTAAATTAGCTTTTTGCTACTACCACTGTCATTCATCTGCTTGCTTAAGGACAAAAACAATAGACAAAAAGTGTTTCTAGATTCCATTATTGATAACACTGGAGATAAAAGCCCCAATGTATACTAATAGTTTAACGGATCAATAGCAATGTCGTCAACATTCACTGCTATGAGTGAAGACTGAGTTCCAGATAAAGGCATCTGAACTAGTTCACGAGGGCTCTGGATTCACAGCAATCAAGGTGCCGTGCAGTATGTATCATCTTAGGCCTTGACTTGGCAGACACTTATTAAAAGTGAATCAACTTCAAAAGGGATGAATCACACATGTTAAATTAACACGCATGTAAGAGTTTGCAGGATTGGGGCCTTAGGGTGCACACCTTCCACCAACTCTCTTTAAAGAAATGCAGGTGTAATGTATATCCAAACTTGACTAGCTTCATTCTTTATAATGCTTGCTCCCCTAGCAACTGGAATGGTTATGGCAGGATCAGCTTAGTTTCACTTGTTCAGTTTTCTGCATTGTAATAGTGGGAATCTTATGCTCAAATACCGTAAGGACAGGCTTCAGTGCACTTCTGGAGTCAGTGGTGGTTAGATTTTCACTCTGCCTTAGATTTCCTGAAGTAATGTAAATGTAACCTTGCAAAATAGCAAGTATTTAAATTCATATTTACGTGGGAGGTAATTTTACTGCCTCTAATCTGGTGTTCTCACAGCACTGGATGAGCAACTCCCCATTTTCAACCTTTTACCACTGCTCTATAAGTAAATGGAAGTGCTTTTACTACATAAAATATACACAATTTTTATTCAAGACATTTTCCTGCTTAGAGAGTTTCTGTTATTAAAAAAATATTATTCTATTGTTTTGAAAATGAATTATCCCTTGAGGGTACTCTAAGAAATTAAAGGAATGCTACTAATTTTGATATGTCAAGCAACTGGCCTAAATTAACAGTGGTCTGTTTAGCTTCATGCATAAAGTGAATGAGACTACACACAAATTGCGGAGTTACAAATGAAAAAGTGGAAATGCAGTAGTTTATTTCTTATTTAAAAAGGGACTCCACATTTTACCATCTAAAGAAATAAAGAAAGAGTCACTTAAAGTAAAAAAATTTAAGAGACTATCATTGATATAGATCAAGTTGCTGGTGTACCAGCTGACAGTGCTATGTTAAGAAGCTTTTAAGAAGAGACATAACTCCTGATCATCTTTACAAATTATTACGTGGAAAAGAGAAATCAGTCATCATCATATAGGTTTGCAAGGTTAGGTTAAAAGGCAAGCCACTGAGAAATGCGACATAAAAATCTGGCAGAAGGCGATTTTTAAGATGAGTGGATACTGCACTGTAGTTAAATGCCAATTAAACAAATATTAATTCTGAGAAAATGGGATTAAGCTGATGCAATATTCAGTACAATTGAGAAAGTTAAAATATTAAACAGTTTAAAGCATTGACTGCCCATTGAGATCAGTTTTCCTCCTTCCCTCTCTGCCACTTTGCACACTGCATCAGGATAATCTCTTCATTTTCAGCACACAACTGTTTAATAAATAGAATTTAAATATTTCTGTAGCAGAAATCTTTTTAGTGGGTATCTAATTATGCACATATACCTGTCTGATCTTTACCATCGTCCTTTACATGGTTATCAGTGTGAAATGCAGTGTGAGTACAGAGTGGATCATAAATACACATTTATGAGATTAGTTCTAAGTCAACTCTTCCTCTCATTCCAACAGTAGAAACAAAAAGAGAAACTGAAAATGGTTATGGTGCAGTTTCCTTTCATAATTCCCTATATCAAAATGGGTGTGCAGTTTTAAAGAGCTTAAGAGTCATAGTAGGAGTCTAATATAGGAGTGGCAATGCTAAGGAATCCAAACAACAAGCTCATGTGAAATTCCTCAGGCGGTAGATGGGTGCGGTAAAAAAAAGTAGGTGCCTGATTTGCAGGAACATCTAATGGTATCTAATGCTTTAGCATTTTCTCACATTGGACCAGAGCCACCTCTATTCAACTCCAAGGTTATTTGTTTGATTTGCTGTTGGGTTTGTTTTTGCCTTAAGACTTTAAGGGTTTGCCACTGAAGGGCTCATATATTCATGAGATAAAGCAACAACGACAGAGCCATAGGGTGCCATGCAGTAGGTATGGCAATAGCACAGTGTGGCCACACAGGACTTCAAGCCTCAAGTTAATAGAGCCTGTTGAGTTTTCTACATCTGGTCTCTGAGACACAAAAAGCTTTCAAGTTATTCCTGTAGCCAATGCAAAACCAAGACTGTCAGACCTCCCAGGGAGCTAACTCCAGCCTGATAGACCAGGTGAACTTGTCAACATTAGAAAGTTGTAGGAGTACTTGGGGACAGACATCCATGAAGACCATGAAAATTCTATCACTCCAAGCTTCTTTACAGAAAAAAAGCTTCTCTCCTGCCATCGTACAGACTGAATATGAGCTAAGGAGCTGAAAGTGGATCAAAGAAACAAGAAGAGATTAGGGCATGCAGCTTCTAACATGTTTGAAGACCAATGGCTCTGTGAATCCCCAGGCTACATAACTAAGGGTTTCAAGATTAAATTTGGTATCTTATAACTTTTATATTCTGTGCTATGGCCATTCCTTAGGACGATACAACATGGAAAAGACCAGTAAATCACATGTCCATGACTACCATTCAAGAACTGCTGACATCCACAACAACAGGAAGAGGAAATCCACAAAGCAGGCAGAGCCATGCAGCCATCCCATATAATTATGAGTGGGTGGAAGGGAAAAATCAAAAAACCAGTCACCCAGCAGGAGGCTCAGGAAAGCACTGGTGGAAGGGAAAGATTAAAACATGTCAACCTACCGGTATATTTTGTGCCAATTGAACCAGTCTGGTCTTGATGAGAAAGGGGAGGGCAGAAAGAAAACTGACAGCCCTGGGTCCTGCACTCTCACTGCTGACAGTCAAAAGGAGTGATCAGTTTGGTTCTGTTTTATAAGGAAGTCTCATAACAAAGAGTGGAGTCCTGAAATTATGGACAAAGTCTTGGCAGGAAGGCAGCAATAAGTTACCTTATGCTAAAATTTTGCATGCATACCAAGTTCTTTGCTTTCATTTCGTTTTATTTAAAAAAAAAAAAAAATCTTTTAATTTAGGCTAGTCACATCCTTTGAAATTAAGCTGGTTTATGTTATTTTAACTGCTGACATTTACACATAACTGCTGAGACAAAAGAAGACCAAAACACAGGGATGGGCTTTAAATCCAAAATGAGAGAAGGTTTATAAACTTTACATAGAGTGGTGTATAAATTATTTTGTTACCTGAACTTGATCGCATTCATCAGTGGGGTAGATCCATATCTGTCTCTAGCATAAACAGTTGCACCTGATGTTAACAAGTACTCAACTAATGGTAAATGCCCTTCAGAGGCTGCAATATGAAGCGGAGTTCGGCCATCATAGTCTCCACAGCTCAAGTTTCCACCCTACAAAAGGGCAAATCACATGCTAAAAAGATAATGGCTATACATTAAGTTGGTGGTACAACAGTAGATGCATACACTACATTTTATTTCTGCCACCAAAATGTTAAGTCTGTCAAACTTACTTAAAGTTTATCTTGTAGTGTTGTTTTAGCGCCAATAAAGATATTTATTCTATGTTCTCTCCTCTACATGTATTTTCATTACAGCCCCTTCAGATATGCTCTTTATTGCAGTGCACCATACAGCAGCTTTGTGCCTATAGTTTGGTAATTTTACTCATCTTAGTTTATTGTTATTTTCAAAATATATTTATCCTTTCTTGAGGCCCATTACCAAAGTCTCAAATGTAGGGTAAACCATGGCAAAGAGGAAAAAAAAAAACAAAACAGAGGTGTAGAAGATGATACAGGGAAATGCCTGTTTCTTTTTCCTGGTATAACCCAAGCTAGAGCAATGGAGAGAGCCAAAAATCCTGAATTAGCACTTCACTGTGTTTTGCTTAAATATAATTTTCAAGTTTTTGTTTTTTTTTTTTAAATCATGAGAGATTTACATCCAAAAGCTGGATACTATGAATATGCATAAAGTTAAGCAAAGAAAGCAGCACATTTTAAAGTGTTCCAAGTTAGCAGATAAGAACTTGCATTTTAATCTACCTGTATTTTCACAGTTCAAAGGAAAATGTAAACAGCTGAGAACCAGATAGGGGAAAGAACGTAGCAGTTTTGAAAGGCAAAGACTGAGAAGCTTAGAAACCACTTGTATTAGTCAAAGCACTTTGATTCTAAGACTTAGGTAGTTGCTTCCCAGTGAGCATAACTTCCTCCCATCATTTACAGCTCTACTTAAAAATTCATGTTTTGTACAAACTGTTAATTATACATTACCATTTCTGCTATGGCTCTTAGTGCATCTATGTCACCCAGTTTAGCTGCAGCGCAAGCCAAAGGTGGAATTAATGCATCTCTTACAGCTTCTAACTCCTGAGAAACAAATAAAATTAAACATTTAATATCAGTCTCGCCACTAATGTGATTGATGTCCAAGTCATAAAAACACTGCCCTTGCTTTCATGTAAAGTTTCCAAATTAGTCATTTGGTTATTTAAAAATGGTAGTGTTTAGTTCTTGGAAGGAAAAAAGTCTCATGTTTATTTTACAGTTTGTCAGTCTCAAATCCATAAAGATTTATATTCTTCCCTGGCAACACTACAATTACCCAATTACCCGGTATCTATATATACCATTTAAGCTGTACACACTAACTACCATCTCTGTACTGCCATAGTTACACATCAGTACAGTAAGAGAAACAGCACTGGTAGGAGTTGGAAAAGACCATATAGTCCAGTCTCCTCAAGACTGGATCAACTTTATTCATGTGATTCCTCAGATATTGGTGTAACCTGTACTTCCAAACCTCCACTGCCAAGCTCCATAGACCCCCTAAATATCTTTCAATTTCTCAAACTTACTAAAGAAGAATCATACATTCTGTATTCATTAGCTACTAAAAATCCAAGCTACCCTGAAACCAAGCCAAGAGAAAAGCAAATATTTGTATCTTACAACCAATAGTATATTTTCTGATTTTCCAATTGGAAGGGTCTAATAAACACCACAAATTCCACTTGTGTAGTGCTTCCTTAGCATCAGCCTTCTATGACTGCGTGTACAATTAAGCTGTTTTACCCGTTATTATTTGGATTGCTCCAAACTGTCAATACATTTGACCACAAATATACAAAGCACTTTTTTATATCACTGATAGTCTGAATTACAGCAACCGTCTGAGGCTTATTGCAACCAGCCAGCCAAGAAAATAAACTCAAGATGGGGCTACAAAGAGGAAAAAAAAAAATAATATGTTTTTAATTAAAAACATTTTAATGTTATGCTTGTCATTGTGTCCTTTCTCCCTAACCCAACTGGTAAACTGGGACACTCAGTACTAAAAAAAATAATATAAAAGCTCCAATGTTCAATTTTTCTTTCAGCTCTGCTGTTCATCTTTAAGCTAGGTTCATTTAACTGAGTTTGCAGCTTTACATTACTTCAATTTTAAATATTTAAGTATATACCTCCTTGGTGCTGATATTTAGAGATTTGGCAATCACTTGAATAAACTTGCTATCTCTCAGAGAGATCTTGGCTCCTGTGGGTACAACAGTCATTTCTCCTCTTAGATTCTCACTCAGCATCTGAAAAGCAAGCAATCAAATCCTTTGTTAGCAGAGAAAAAAATATGGTAGTAGTCTAATAAAAAACCTTACAATCAAGTTAGAAAATTGTTTGGAAAAATTATAGAAACTAATTGAATGCAGACAAAAGATTAAAGAAATAGTTGCTGTCTCATGAAGATTGCAAGTTTAAAAAGACAAAGGGGGGGAAAAAAGGGACAGGCAAATAAAACTTTCTTCCAAAGCAAAGAAACCAAAATAAGCACATAAAAAAAAAAAATCCCAATTTTAGAGTATGCAGACAAAAGTTCCCTAGTGGGGTAAGCTGCAGCCTACTTAAAAACACAAAGATAGTGAGTAATTAGCAGAGTGAGGCTGAAGACCAGAACATTCTGAAATGCTGCCTTTTGCCAGCATTCCTACACCTCAGTACTCCTACACAGACCGTGTACCTCGGCCTCAAAACAAAGCCCAGCGCTGCTTGTGGATGGTCATGTATTTCAATGGATTTTCAAACAGCTCCATTAGCCCTGATTTTGTTAAAATTTGGCCATAGAGCCAGCTCTGAATGTAGAAGGTCTACGGTAGTCCTAGTCCATCAATACTAAAGCAGGCACGTAACTGTTTGCAGGATGGGTGCATCCAATACAACCAGGAAAAACAAACCAACAAACCAAAAAAAGGTCAGCCAATTCATGTGTAGAAAGTGCTTGAACATGGCAATAAAGAAAACAAAATACTACAAAAGACAGGTTCAGGGAAATCTGGAGAAGAGAGAGAAGCCAGTAATTAAGAAAAAGCAACTGGTTTCCTCAATTCTGACAATTTTACATAATTTCACAAAAGGTTGCTGATGCAGCTATAAAGCACGTAGTTACTCCAATTAGAATTTTAAAAAGCAGGATTGTGAAAGTTTGCAAGAAACAGATGTGATGTTGGAAGGAGGAATGCCCCAGGTTTGCTTATGTCTAGGCATGCCCTTTATTAAAAAAAACTCCAAGTGCTGACAACACTGTAGCTGTCTGCTGGAAGAGTCCCATATAGATGCAACTCGGAGGATACCAACTCCTTTTAGAGTTTGACAGGTTGAGATCATTGCTTTGCAGAGGTAACCTTAGCAATTGGCACCTGTGCTAAATGCACCCAGTGCAAAGCCCTACGTGTCTTACTCAGTCCTACCAGCTCTGCAGCCATTTGCATGTGTCTGGGGGCACATTCCTTGCTTCTTCGTGTTGAAAGAGAATCCTAAAATAACTACGCCAGATTCAGGAGAGCTTCCGTCTCTTGGGAGACTATTGTTTAGTGATATGTTTAGCTGAAGATATTGCCACAGACAACATATTTCCAGGCTTTCTTCTCCTGGTCTCTACCACTTATTCCTGCCCAGGCAATGCAGCATGCTGCTCCCTTAGTTGTGCCAACACAATTGTTTGTGAGTCTGTACAATGAGTCAAATGAGGAAACTGATCCTGCTTAACTCAAAGAAATTGCAAAAGTTAGTTTGTTTTTCAAGCCATATAAAGGAGATCTCACCACCACCACCAGACAAAAACTGTGTAGCGCATTCCAAAGGGCTACACATGAAGATACAGGAATACCTTGTGCCAGTGATACCTAAAATATACTGTCACCAAGTCCTCAGCTAAGCCAGCTATCTCACCTCAGCAAACTGGATCTCAAATGAAGTTTTAACTCACACACCTAAGCAGGAAGCCAGCTGGGAAAGTTTCTCCTGTCCCAGATAAAAAAAATCCTCTGTGCAAGAAGATTAAAGTCAGTATTAAAGAAAACAGGTGAGTATAGGTATGTTCCAGGGTCAGTGAGTGCACCAAAGGGGCACCAGTGAAGAGCCTGGGTTTCTAAAGTGCGTATGCACACACACATGCAATACCACTACTCTTCACACAGCGTTATGTCGCTTGTCAAGTATGTTCTTGCACAGAGTATGTTCTTGCCATCCTCACTGAAGGAACACATAGCTCTGGCTCCTCTCATTTTTCAGAGCCAGGCCTTTAGCAAACAGCCGAAAGCGCAGAGTCTGGAACTGTTCCTGAGCACGGTAAGGGGCACTTCCAGCCACCCCACTTATGATCATAGCTATCCAAATATGAATGTCTCAAGAGCTGCTACTGGTTGGAAGATACCAAGCATGAAATAACAATCAAACTTGTTTCAGTTTTAATAAAAACAAAACAGCATCATAAGATACACATGTGCATGCAGTGCTGAAGTCTAGGGAGTGACTCATCATGATGTCATCTCCCAAAGTGTCAGGATTATGATTTCACTGCAAACAAGCATAAGAAACACATGCACTCCTGCAGACTTGCTGCACATCTATCTAAGTCAGGGCTATACATTCCTTGTATAAAAGGAGCACAATATAAACTATATAATTTGAGGAGAAAAGCCTTGATTAAGCACCAGTGAACAGTAAGAAGACTGATAAAGGGGTTATGATTTTAAAATCAGTTACAATTGGTTCTAAGAATAATCCTCTTTTTTATGTATTTATAGAGTGCATTTCCTCTAAAAGAAACAAACACTGTCATGAATAAAGCTGTAAAGGAAGAGGCTGTAGGCAATATTTATTTTCAGGCAATATTTCTTTTGTGTGAATGAGTCTTGGATGAAGTCTTTAGCACACTAAGATCAATGACAGAATCTTTGCTGACTTCAGTAGGGTTGGGATTCTGTCTCCCATATGAATTTTTACATACAGGTTTTTAGTACAGAAATGTCCAAGGTAGACTACTACTGTTTAAAGATGGCATTTTTATGGCTTGGTCATAGTCTTCATCTGATTTATGCAGAGAATTCTTTTCTCTCTCAATCTGCATACATTCATTTGCACTATTTTCCTTAAGGAAAAAAACACCTGATATTCACATTATGGCTCTGAAACCAATTGCTTTTAAATGCAAGGCAGAAGCTCAAGGCATTCAGCTAAGCAGAAGTTATCACAGTAGATGAGAAAGTTAAAGCCTTTCAAGGTCACACTGAAATATTTACCTGCCTCTTCTCCTCCCAGCTAAGCTTTCTCTTGCTGAGTGTGTATGACAGTTTAGTTAGGGCTGCCTCTGGTGTCATATCACCTCCAGGAATTACTCCAACATCAGCGAGAGTCTGAATAAAAAGGAATAACCATTCCAATTAGCATATCATTCAGAAATACCTGTGTGAAGAAAAAATGTATATGAATGACGAGCAGCTACACAGAATACCATATGCAACCGTGCCTCCACTCTCGTGCTCCTCCTACTGCCACTGTAATTTTTGTAATTTTAGTTATCAAATACCAAGCAAATACTAGAGACAGCTGGATAAAGATTACTTTAAATTCCTTTTCATGCAATAACGTTGAAGAATTCACCCAAATGCTTGCCACGGTCACTTACTATGCTAAAAGGAAAAGGTTACAGGTCCGTATCAGCTATCTGCAGAGTTGTCAGATTCCCTTTATTGAAAAGCTGCAGTTACTCTGTTTTAACCCAGTGGCATTTTAAACATTGCCAAGTAGGCTGTTCTCACACAGACATATTTACCATTCTTTTATGGAGCACTGCTTTGGATGAATTCCAGCAGTACAGTGTGCTCACAGCAGGAGTGTTTTCAGATCCTTTCTGGCCATGCTAGGAGTGTATGACTTAGAATATAAAAATAAAATATGTAATTTACACAGTTCTGACAAGAATATCTGAAAAATATGATGTTTTAAACTTATCTTTCTGGTAGATAAACAAAATAAATTGTCTGAACCAAAGCGAAAAGCAGAAAGATCTTTGCTATGGTCAGCAAGCCCCATAAGTGTACAGTGAGCAAGACAGGAAAGACAAAGAGATTTCATATTTCTTGTCACTAAATTGTACCTGGCCAAACACTCAGGCTTCTCTAAACCACAGATCATCATCTTTGCCATAATGTGATGGCTCACAGTTAAGCATCTTGCAGTCTTTACTTAATTTTAAATACTTAAAATTAGGTAGGTTCGTTACTTAATTTTAAATACCTTGTATATAAACTTCAGCTTTGAAAATGTTGTGGCTTAACTAATGTTTTTAGCAAGATACAGAGCCTTTATCAGCTCATTAACCACCTCTGAGAGAGCTGCAGACTAACATTTTTAGAAGTCCCATGGGAATACATACACAGAGAAGGTGAGAAATACTTTCTATACTGCAGAGCTAGCCAAAGAACAGTTAGGGCTTTTTCAGCACGTTTGAGAAAGAGAAGGAGAAAGGGATTTCCCAGCTTCCTTCCTATACCTGAAGTCCCCTCAAGTGAAAGTTTCCACTGTGCAGATGGATCAGAGGCCAGATATTCAGTTAATTAACAAACACTTCAAGGGAAACCAGGGACTCAGCTGACCCACCTGGCTAGTTTGAATGAGTAAAAAATGACCTAGCCATATGAAAAGACCCGTGAAAGATTTTATTTAAAGAAAACTCAAAGTTAAGTTAACACGACAGTAACTCTCCAGCATTCATCCATATTTCCTCCATTGAGCAGTTCCACATGAAATGGAGAAGGCACTGAAAGAAGCATGAAGTAATTTCATAGGACTTGGCTCTGTCAGTGTTCTCAAAAGACACCAAGAAAATAGGGCAGCCTCCATCAGTAGATGCTGAAGCAACATAATACATGCTCGATACAAAAAGGAGGAGCCAGAAGTGAACGTGTTTCCACACAGCCTTACAGTGGTTCAGCAAGACCTGAGCAGAAGCTTTCAATTCAGCATATCAACAGTCTGGACCAGAGTGCAAGAAGCCATTTCAGAGGTGTGTACTTGGAAAATCTTTTAACCAGAGCATAGAAAGTTGTTTTTTTTTTTCTTCCTTCCATACATTTTAGCAGTTAATTTCAACCAGAAGATCACATAAAAGCCAGGCTTCATTTTCACGTTGATTTTCAAATGTTTGGTGTCTTTTATTGACTTAAGTGCTTTCTTCCTTCTGTCTGAACTGCTTTATATAATCCATGTATTCCTATCGTATTTGCTACAGAGCACAGGATCTTTCCAAAAGTTAATTCTTCTCAAAACATCTCCATTAAGTTATGCAAAAGTTTTACCAACACCCAAATGACTGCCCATCAGTGCCACAGAAAATACTGAGTTTGGATACTGAAGAGGTGGAAAGAAACTCTTACAATCTCCTTTTCTTTCCTCTCAAATCAGACTGTGTGTTCTTGAAGCAAATATAATCTAAAGCTGTGTCAAAAACCATGTTAAAAGAGACAGGTTTCAGCACTAGACTAGAGTATCTGTGTCTGTCTTACAGTCACTGAAGAGGCTGGTTCTGCTAGATGGGTGGTTGCTCTCAACAAAACCAGGTGTCTAAAATGGGGGGATGAGTCATCGTCTGGCAGTGCTTCTTGGCTATTTTATGGCTAGCATTTTTACAAAGGCCAGTTAAACCAGCTTCCTTCACACATGCAACACATACTCTTCTATGGCTTTGAGCTCTTATTAGTCCCAGTGATGTCACGTCTTAATACACAATTCAGAAACTCACTATAAAATGCCCTGAATATTAACAGTATCTACAGAAAGTCAGCTTTAAGCTAGCCTTCATGGGTTAAACTGATTTCCATTCTGCAAGACAGATGCCTCCTTACATACTGTTCTCCAGTCTCTCACTATCAAATACTACTTTATTTGATCATCTGACCCCTAAGCTAGCTTCTAGCTCAGTGGAATCCCTTTGGGAGAGATACTGCCAACTTAATGCAAGGTGTCCTGGAGTGCTGCACACGACATGAGCGAGCAATCACTAATCTGGGATTTGAGCTGACTGTTTCGACCATTCAGACTAGGAGTAGGAGGAGCTTGTTGCATTTAAATGCTTCCAGCTTAAGATTTTTCAGATATAGTTATTTTATGAGCAATATCTTTATAGTTTAACAAATCAGGTTTTATACACTGGGACTACTAGAAGCATACAATCAAATTGTACCAGTGGGATGTTTCTTTTATGCAGCAGGAGAGTCTGAAATCACTGCACAATCCTTACCTGTCCTGTTGCATAGACTGTTTTAACAGACCCTCGTAAGCACTGTGTACAGTTTAGAATCACTACTCTTCGTTCAGTTGCTTTCTTCAGTTCTTCCAGCAAGTCTTCTCTGTTGTTTGGGGCATTGCCACTTCCATAAGTTTCAAGTACAATGCCCTCAATTGGAGGCTGAAGAAATGCTTTTACCTGTTTAAAAACAAGACAAGGGAGAGAGACAGAAGATATGTTTAAGTCACATTAAGATTTTCATTTATGGCACAGAGTGTTTTTTAAATGTCCTGTTCCTGTTATAGTCTTACAGGCTCTCATGCCTTACAGTCTTCTCATGTCCTTCTGTGCTCCCCATTTGCAATAACTGGGACTGTAGAATAAGCTTGAAAAAACTGAGAATTTCACTCTTTAGCTTCCTTTAAAATTCCTAGAGGGATAGATTTTAAAATTAACTATTTTCTACAGTCATGACATCAGTGTGAAAAGGATGCTATTGTTCAAGTTCCATTAACAGGCTGGCTATATTGTTGCACCATGGTGGAACAAAAGGGTAGATTTACACTTACAAAATAAATGCAGAATTATTAATTGAGATTAGAACCCCCACCCCTGCCCAGTTTTGTTACTTTAGCAAAGAGTTTTGTTAACAAATGTCTGCCTAACTGAGAGAAAGTGTCTCACTTTTCAGGAAGAAACATTCTGTTGAAGCCTGGAGTTTTTTTATCTCAAAACTCAAATGATTTAACTCAAGGCAGAAAAAAAAAGGAGGCACTAATTCATTCTGGGCCAGTTGTTAATGAGGTAGTTATTGTGGCTCACTGTAAGAGGATGCCTAGCAAAGTCCCCTTCCTAGAAAAATGTATTTTAAACAACCTAGACACTTCCTTGCTGATTACGTATGCTAAATGCAATACACTGTAAGCTCCCATGAGGCTAACTATGCAGTTGGAGTTTTATTACAAATATACCACCCCTCTGCCTTTCCATCTGTTCATATTCACCTAAGAAGAATGGTAATATAATTGAGGAGTGCTGCTTAAACTACTGGATTCAATTTAAGATGGCAACAGCCACAAAAGACCTGTCAGTTTACTGGAATTAGTATTAGACAAAAATTTAAAGACAAATCTACCTAAAACCACAGCTCTGCAAAATAATTTCTAAAGGCAAAAAAATCCCACTTCTCATTTTCAGTTCTGTATGAATGCTGAGGGTCATGTTAGCCATCAGTGTGAGAAAAAAATAACCTTAAAACAGAAGCATGAATGGTAGAAATGGTCACTCCCCTCCACCCACCATATTGTGTATTCTTTGACAAGATATCTATTAATATGCCTCAATATGCAGCAAGAAAGTATTTCCAAGTCATATGCATTAGTCTAGAAAAGCACACTTGACCTATTTATGAGCCTGATAAGAAATTAAAGTTTCAGAGCCCAGGTGGCTGTCCTGGTTTTTGCTAGGACAGCTGCGAGTGGCTGTGTCTTGTTTGGCCGCCAGCTAAAGTAAACTGTCATAGCGGTTTAGACAAAAGATATTTGAAAATCGTTTATCAGTAGTTTATGGCATATGAAAATAGTGTTTGAATGCTCTGATATTCTAAAAAATGTTTATCAGAAGAAGACAGATTCTTTCCCTTCCCTCCAAAACCCCAACCACTGCTAAAACAATGCAGCTTCCCTACTTCAGCTAAGTATTTGAGCATCACTTCACCCACTTCCAAAATGAAGTGGTGATACTTACAGCAGCAGCAGTGATTCCTGGGAAGATTCGCAGAAGTCCAACATTCCTGTTCATATTGGTGTGAACTCTAAATTTCTTTTTGGTATTGGGTCTCCACACCGTTTCCCAGTTTACTGTTAGAAAGAAATGGCCTTTTTAATTTAATGCTAAAACATAATATTAATTACGTTTTTACTTTACTTACAGCATTGTCTTTAAAACTGTTTCTTATGTAGGGTATTAGTGAAAGACAATGTATTTTTGAAAAGAGGAAATAAAGGCCTATTTAAGACAGCAGCCATAGCAGCTGATCTAACACACCTCATTTATTAGGTATCACAAAATATGTCCTCAAGGCCACATCCAGGTCAGGCTGAACTGTGTTATATTTTAGCTTTAATTACAAAATAGTCTAGATTCTGAGATATACCAGTATTACTCATCAATATTTCTAAGTTAGTGCTCTTCAAGGAGATATTTAACATGCATACTTCAATTTAATAGCATTTTATAGTAAAGAGTTCCAATATGGATGTTTTAGTTCAATGCCCACTAGTGAACAGGATGATTGATCAGACATGAAGCTGTATACCTCTACTACAACCTCTTCAAAAGAGAAGTCTGATAGCTGTGAAAAGCATCCGAGTACTAGACCTCATGGGCTCACGATGTTGAAGATGTCCTGTTAGTGACATCTCTCCCAGTTCAGAGTGCTCAGAAAGTCTCAACCACCAGAGCAGCATGCAGGTCTAGCATCGGTGAGATATTTCCTCGTCAGGCACTGACCTGAACTTCATTGTTCTGTAGTTGGCCTGATACCAGCCTGGATTCATGTTTAGAAAACAGACCTTCATCTTCCCAGACAGAAGAGATGACAAATGCAGTTACTGTTGCCGCTAATCACCTCCAGAGTTTATTAGGTAGTTACTAACGATTAAATAAAATAGCATGGATTCAATTAACTCCGATTATACATTTAGAGCCAGAAGCCAGCTGTTTAACTAATTGTTTGTTTGTGCTGCATTACTAGAAGCCAAGTCATGCATTATTGATTTCAAAATTTTACTACTTCAGTGAAGGAGCGCAGCACTGGTAGCACTGACGGCTCCTACAAGGCAGTGGAAGAGGTTTAACAAACAGCAGCCAACAGCTCAGAGTGTCATGCTTCAATGAAAGCAGATGATGCCATAAAGCTACCTGTTTCCTCATCATAATTTAAGCTTTTTGGATTTTGGAGAAATTCTCAAGCAGCAAGACAGATGAAAGATCTGTGTGCATAATACTGAGTTGCTCTCAGCCATGCGGAGAGTTACTCACACCAATTACTGTTGCAATCTCTTGCAAATCAGCACACAGCCATTTGCAAGAAAATTTGGAGTACATTTAAAAGCCTCCATTGAAGCCTACTCTATTGCCCCATTACCAGAGATACTGAAAACTACACAATCCATTAAGTCAGGACAGAAAACAGCAGTCTTTCCAAACTTGCGCTCACTCTTGGGGTGTCCTGTTGGCAACTCGAGCCTCTGTATGTTCCTTCTAAAAAATACCGTAAGTCACTAAACAGGTCACAGGCACTTGGCTTGGTATCATGTCTGCCCAACCAGCCATGCTTCTTAATGCTCTGGGAATGGGAAAATAGACATACAGACTGTTTCTACGGTTTCTTTCTTTGTGCTAAGCTGAAACCACCAGGTTGGGTTTAGTTGTTAGCCAAGTAGTTCTCCAAGGCCTCCATGAGCTTTCCAGAGCAAGTTAGAGACCTGCAAGAGGTACGTGGGTGAGTGCATAAAGCTATGCATTTGTTCTGCTTGAGGTTCTCAGGCCTGGCTAACCATGTTCACTCACAAGCACTGTGCTTTAAGAAGCAGCAGCGTTTAGCAATAAATCCAGTCCTTTCAACCTTCTAACATACAGATTAATTCTTTAAAAGCAGCCTCCTCTATAAGAAGGAACAGCAATAAAATTGTATCAGAGCTTTCTTTCCTTTATCCTCCATAACCTAGGAGTCCCTGCCAAAACTTCACAAATGCATACTACTAAGTTTGGCAACTATTAGCATCCCTAACGCCTGTAACGAACTTGAAGAATGAACTGAGGAAACCTGCCCTGGCACGGATCACTAAGATAGTGCCAAAAGTAGAAGACCAAGGAGAGAGATCAGAGGATAGGTTCAGAAGTCAGCCCTATACCAGGCCTATACCTGTACTCTTGGAGTACTCTCTACCAAATAACATATCATCTTCAAGATAAATATAATGCATGCAGACATCGTACAGTGATGTAATTTCAAACTATATTAAAAAAGAGAACTAAAGATTGTCCCTGAGTTAACATTCCCTTGGTCATGAACCTCGTCAGCTTACATAACGTGCTCGGTACTGCAGACTCCACAGATGTCAGTTTTCCATTAGACAAACGAGTAAAAGGCAGAACAAAAGGCAAGTATGATGCAAGAGCCAAAGACATAAAAGCCTGACTTCATCTCAGATTTATTCAGAACTGTTGTAAGTGAGGCAGAGTGCCATGCAGGGGAAAAGAAAATTAATTAGAACACACCATTTGCATCCTGCATCTCAAAGATTACATCCACAAAAAGGAATAATATTTATGTCATATAGCTGAGTTCAAGCATCTTCATTGTACTGAATGAACCAGCTGTCTTGCAGCCTATAGTTGTACCACACTGGAATCTTCTTTTTTTTTTTAAATTAAAAATAAATTAAAAAATCGTAGGAATCACTAACAGTTTTTAAGTAAGAACTCATATACAAGCAGGTGAAGTACAGAAAGCTGTATATATCGGTGTTTGGAACAGTTTTTTATCCTATAGATAAGAGTGACTAATTAGGGATATTCAGTTTTGGCACAACACAGAAAACAGTAACCTGTTCTGACTTGGATGGCCTGTGCTTGTAAAGAGTTTAACTGATATAGTGTACTGCATTATGTAAATATGGGTACAAAGCTGAGGAAAAAATGTAGACTAGCTACTGGTCTTGCACAGCAGAAAGAAAGTTTTTAAAGCAATGTACATAAAATAAAGAAGTTATGGCTATTTATATACCGTATCCAAAATAGTTTGGGATAGAAAAGATTGCTTTATTCAAGGAGACGGCATTCAAGATACTAAGGCCTTTTGTTTATTTTTCTAAACAAAACCATCACATAAACAATACTTTGCTCTTTCCAATCTCCCCCTCCCTACCAAACACTACAGCTTTTAAAATTACAGCTCAAAAAAAATACATCCTTATCTTATTCAGCTTTATTCATACACACACATGCACACAGAACTATGGTGATAGGGTTAGTGTGGGAAAAACATCAACCTGACTTAAAAATAAAATCAAAAAGAGAAGCAGCTCTACACAGTCTAGAAAGCAGCAAAAATTGCTTTTTTTAAACAGTGCCTATGCCACAATGCAGGTTTCAACTTATAATGGGAGAGCAGCAACTAAGAGCGACACCTCCCTTAGGAGTGGTGACTGAACTCCGAGTTATGAAATCAAACAAGAAATACAGCTTTTGGTGATTGCAGAGCTCCAGACAAACAGCAACGCTTTCTTCTCATCCTCCTCTGTGGGGCTACGGGCGAGCCCTACCATTATATAAGCTGCCCCAGCATTCATTACAATTCATGGCAGCAGCCAAGGGGTGGGGAGCACGGGCCAACCTATGGGTGCAGATTCCTGAAGGAGGCAGACATAGACCCTCTTTTTTTGGCAGTTTGTTATAAACAATTGACCTTTTGAAATGAATATTTAAATTGAATGGTGTCGTTGCAAGAATCAACATGCCTACTTACAAGGGGGGAGGACACGACCAAATGCACTTCATTGAAGAGAGCTGGCATCTGCCTTAATACATAAATTACTTGGGCTTTTTACTAGAAATAACCAAAACTGCCAACCAAGACACAGACTTGGCCAGTGACAAAAAGCTTCTCTCCAATGAGACTGGTGGGTAGACGAGTCCAAAAGGGCCTTCTCACCTTCTGCTGCACCACATCTGCATGCACAGTTACGTAGGCTCTGTTTGTCCCCTACACGTTTCTCATCATATGGCCCTGTACATGTGCACCACTCCCAGAAGTTACATGCATGTGTGATGAAGAAAGTCCAGCCATGGTAACAAAGCAAATTTCGTATTTGCTTCATTAGGACAATAGAGAACAGAGGAGAGTAATCAGTTATGAAATATACTGAGACTCTTTACACATTTCAAGTGAAATAATCCTCCTTGTCTCTCCTGTTTTCAAAATATGGGAGAAATAAGGGAACATCTTTTATTTGATAAGCTTTAAGATTTTCGAAATATTTTTTGTTATTTCTACATTATCCATTTCATAGAGAGATTTCTGATTCTGCTGCAAAAGTATTTCCCGTGAACATTGTGTTTCTTACTTGTCTCAGGAGTGGGCTAAAATTTTTCACTTCTTACAGGAGTTTCTTGTGCTAAATTTAAAGTCTTGAGGAAGCTGACACACTTGCTCATCTAAAACCGGATAATGGGACTCCTAGGTGTTGCTAACACAGTTAAGGATCTGGTCAAGAACACAGCCAGTTGATGGGATCAGAAATCCACTGGGAGCCTTACCAGAAGAGGGAACAGGGTGAAAAATGGATGTCAAAAATGAAGAGAGCTGCAGGTAGGATAGGGAAGGGAAGAGGACTAAGCTGCTTCTCCTCTCTGGCTCTGAAGCAGATCATTGCTTTTATACAGCATGCCTAGCCTCAAACAGCATGTCCTCTCCTCATTCCTGTGTACCAACCCATGATCCCATTACACTGCCCATTCCCTCCACCCTGTCACCTCTCCCCCTCTGCTTCTCTGGAATTTTCATTCCCAGCTTTGTTAAAACTGGGAAGCCTGAGGAAGAGTTTCTGCACATGGCCTACTCCTCCTGGCATCCTCAGGCTGCTCTCCATACTGCTGAAGCAGCAAGAGTCAGCCCTGTCTACAGGAGGATTAAGACATACTATACAAAGGTGTTTGAAAACAAAAAGTTAAAATATGTTAGATTTGTTTGGTTTGTTTTTAAAAGCCCAGGTGGTTCCTTGTCTCCATGAAAGTTTCATACAAGGATTGTACAAGCAAACTCAAGGGAGACAGCAATGTTTCAAACAATTACTTTGGACAAAATAAAGCTGCACTAGTAGATTGCCCATACTATAAACTATGTTTTTTCAAAATGAAACAATTCTTCAATACTGACACCGTCATCTTGGATAAATGATACTACCCTAACTGGGTAATCAACTGAAACAAATAAAAATAGAGCCTATCACACCATCAGTTTTTAAATCAGAAATCCCCACTGATCTCAATGGGGCATTCGACTGAAAAGATAATGGGACCCAATATGGGCCAAGGGAAGTACTTAATAGCTTTCTCATTTTTCTACTATAGACAAGGAATACAAAACAGTTCATTCAAATCCAAGAGAGAAATAGCATGCAATTTGCAGCTTGATTTCATTATTGATCAGCCAGTAAACGGAATTTATTTATACCCTATTTGATGCAGTTCGTAAAAACCCAAGAAAGAAGATTCTCCCCAATTTACTGCAACAATCAACTGACAGTACTTCTGTTGACACCGTATTTGACACAGCACAGTAACACAACAGTGGCAGACTCCCTAACTGAGGGATGTCTTAACAGATCACTACAGTATTGCACTGGCTGCTACAAACACAGTACTTTCATCCTGGAACTTTGTTAAGTAAATCCCACTTATTAGGTGGAAGGGATAAGTTTGTTTTTCCAAATTGCAGAATGTCTCTCTCTAGTAGTAGAAATCATTCAGAATGGCATGCTGCACGGCACAGGGCTAGATCTCCTACTGCCACTAATAGTACCTAGCAAAAGAATTTGGGAACCCCCTCCTGTTCCTATTTTTTTGTAATCATGGAGATTGTCCCAAATCCTACTCCTTTTTAATATACCTAGCCTATTCAAAAGCAGCTCACATAACGTGTTATATTTTTTTTAAAACTGTCCTTTGGCATGTTTTTTGGCAACTCCTCATTTGGCTGGATTCCAAATATGTCTCTCTTCTCCCCTCTCCAAAGAAAGGGTGCCATTTATCCAAGAACAGACATCAATGTGTTAATGGCTTTGCAAGTGAGTACTGAAATCTTCATGGAGTTTTCCCCCTCTTTAAAAAACAAGACACACAGAAATTATAGGGAGCCTGAGTAAGTTTGGGGAAAAAAAAACTTCACGTAGCGCATATTCTAGGTCTGCTGTTTGCAGTGTGCTTGCAGTTTAGACAGGTCCTAAATATCCAGTAAAACATCTTACACAATGACATGCATCAAACAGAGAATCTGTTGAAGCTGCAAGTACTCTGCAATGACTCTTTTGCCTGATTTCAGAGCCCAGCATGGTCATTAATGAGATTAAACTCTTTGTTCTTTCAGTCCTCACTCCCTCGTTTTTATCTTCAGAGCAAGCATTTTCATGACACAGGGGCAACATGCCCTCTGGTTACTCTGCATCTTTAGTCAAAGTCAGTCTAGCTCACATCTATATTCAACAGATAAATGCAGCGGAGTCACACATTTTCAGTCTTACTAATATTTAAACAGTTTCAGAGCACATAAAGTGGAGTCAAGCTACAAGGCTTTCAAAGTATTTGAGTTTAAAAACAGCATTTCAACTACATAGGCATGGATTCTTTTCAGCTAGAGTTCTATTGCATGTGGCATAAATTACAAGGCTTAAGAGATGATGTTGCTTACTTGTAATATCAACCTCAGCATTTGCAAGTGGAGGCAGGTTAGGTGAGGAAAAGGCATTGAAACTCCCAGCATCCACCTTAGTCACCCTATTTCCCCTGTACAGTTTATTATAAAAATACAGGCACACCTGCAAGACAAGTAAAGAAACAGGTCTATGAATAAGCCAGTAATTAAAAGATTCAGTAGATAAATACTGTAGTCTGTCCTTTATAAAGTGTTTTCTAAATCTTTAAAGCAACTCAGAGGCTAGTAGATGTTTACAACTCTTACCCTTTCAAAAAGAGCTTGCACATCTGTCACGCATTGCTTTAAGAATTTAAGAACAAAACAAGTTAAGAACTAACTACTTTTGTAATCCTCTCATGAGGCATAGTCTAGGAGACAGCAAATTTGTCTGACTCCACTTCAGAGACAGAGGAAAGAAACAGTGTGGACTTATAAGTTCTTCAGTTATATCTACACTCAGAGTTCGAAACCTTAACAAAAGGCCTAGTGAAAATGAGGATAAATTTCAAAAGAGTTACCACACATAAATAATTAGGTTCCTTCTCAAATCCCTTAAAGTTTGTCAAATGGAATTTGAAGGAAAATAGATACTCAGAGTTGTTAGTTATGAAGATCTTGGTCAGTCAGCTAGTGCTGTTGTCTTAAAAGAACTGGCTTTATGAGCGTGGCAGGAATGAAATGAGGTGCAACCTGACCAGTCTTCTCTCATTTTTGGGCTGTACAGCACCAACATCTTTAAAGGCAGGGTGCTGAGACCATGGAGGTACTTCCATGTCCATTAGGTACACAGAATGTCATATCATATCATATCTCACATCGTATCATCCTCAACACTTCAGTCTTTAGGAACTAGAGCTAGAAGACACTCCTACTAGTTCTAGAGCAACTTTAGAACTTCAGAGTAACTTTCAGTTAAAAAACTAACTTAGAAGTAGTTTAGATCCCACATATTTGCAAGGGAACCTCTCATTTCAAGTCTGCTGCAAGCTCCATTTCAGACTTGATAGCCTTTGTAGATTGTATGTGGGCAAAATGCGATACGAATCCTGAGTAAATGGCGTGTGCTTTGCAAGTGCCTGTTACCTCAGCAGAATCCATTTTATCTTCCTGTTTAAGTGCAATTCCTTACTGCCTACCAGATATTTTGAGTAGGTAAGTATATGTCCTGGCTAGAGGCAGAAAAGCAGCTTCTGAGACAGTCTTCACAGGCAGACAGACCTCAGGAATCACGAACTGCCCAGCGAACAGCAGTGCCCCCAGAAGGTTGGCTCGGCCGTCATTCTGCAACTCATAGATGGGCACCTGAAGAGCAGAGACTGAAATTACACGCTGTCCCTTATGTACAGCCTACACAGCAGAAAAAGAGAGTCCAGCTTATGCAATACAAATATATGAATTATTTACGTAACAATGATTTATGACAAATAAATTTTCCTTCATTCAAACTATTTTAGACTGCAGCAGATGGCAGGGTTTCCCTCTGTGCTTAACAGATTTCTATCATATAAGTGATAAAAAGGTAATATAAAGATTATTCTAGTGTGATTAAGTAGACTAAAAGACTGATTTAGGAAAAATATAAAAAACAGAAAGCAGGCATAGTTAAAGTGACTGAGCATGGGAGAAGTGATTGTACGTACAGAGGAAAAGTAAAAGCCCCAGATCATACAGAATTGCCACTGTGGGCTTCACAACAGCTCTCTTGCACCATCTTTCCTCATAGTATAGAAAAACTGAACTAGCAGGTTGTTACTGACAGAAAAGGACAAGATTAAAAACAGAAATTTGGTCTGCTAAGTGATGACTTCCATGCCTTTTCAGATTGGCTCTTTATTAACTGAGAGTTAGAGCTCCTTTCACCAATGGAAAAAAAAAAATCACCTGCTCCATTGCTAGATCATATCTTTATTAACAGAGAGTTAATGCTCCTTTCACCAATGAAAAAATAAAAAAAATCACCTGCTCCATTGCTAGATCATGTCAGGCAGCTCTCCAAGCAATAAAGTCAAAAAGAAAGTAAAACCCTGAATATGACGTACCACAACTAGACTGCCCTGAGTCAAGACAGTAAGTGGGAGCCTACTCCTTCCTCAACTTCTGTATTTTGACTTCAAATAGACCACATGTGAAAGGGAAGTTATTAGATGGGGAGGGGAATTTTACTGTGCAATGTTTCATCTCTCTTTTGTGATCAGAGCTGTATTTTATGCTTAAGCAAGCTATTCTAGTGAGACAACCCCTCCCCCTCAGACAATATGCAAAGGGCTGATCTCCAGCTAAGAGAATGAAAATTAATAAAAGTAGTCTTTAGAGGAGAAGAAACAGACCATGTTAGATGCTTTGTGCAACAAAAATGATCAAAAATGCATCTAATGCTTAGAGATTATTAAAAAAAAATGAAGAATGCAACAACGAGTAACATGAGACAGGATAACATAAGACAGAATAACAACTGATGAAGTAAAAAGTAATAAGCTTCAGGGCTTTAAAAGAAAAAAAAAAGACAGCTAACAACAGCAGCCACCTGAGGCTGGAAAGATGCTTCTCTTATAAACCGATTAATACACAATGGCCAATGACAGGCTCTTATATCTTTCTCTGAAGCAGCTGGCCCCAGCCATAATGAACTACTGGTATGATTTGGTACAGAGTTGTAAAGTCATTAATGATAAAATTATGGGGCAGATCCTCAGCTGCTGAGCCCGTCAATTCTCACTAATTTCTATCAGCACTGTGACCACTCACTCTGGCCAGAGGCTTGTCCTGTGCTGCTAAACTATACAGCAATAATCAGGATACTACCTAGCTTTGCATATAAAACCCAAAAATGAGGCTTCTGACTTTAACTACAAATTAAGTCCATTACCTGAGATCCTGTCAGAACAACAGTTTTACCCAGGTTCTCACACATGAAGGATAAGGCTGAAGCTGTATAGGCCATGGTATCAGTGCCGTGAAGGATCACAAAACCATCGTACTTTTCATAGTGCTCCTGGAGATGGAGAGACAGTTTTCACATTGTTAGAGCAATGCACTGGCATCAGCAAGCGACGTATATATTGCATTACTTTCACTGATGCACGCAACAGCAAAATACTTTAAAGGGTACTACACGCATAATTCCTTCTAAAGTTATCATGTTTTCAGCTTAAACACAATTAAGGGTTAATAGGACGCTAAGCACTAGAGCCAGTAATTCTAATTATGGAACAGTCAAAGCGATTCTTCTATGTATACATATTAATGCAGCATTTTTAAACCAGAAGACTGCTAATTAAGAAAAGCTTAGCAATGGCTTTAAACAGGAATGTTAACATATGCAAATTAGTCGTACAGTCTGATTTCTTGTTGCTGCTTTCACTTTAGGGATTACACCATTTACAGGAACAGATTAGGCAAACCAAGGCTATCGTAACATATAGAAAACACAGCCTATTTAATCCGGGTGGCAGGCAGGCAAACTGCCAGTGTAAGAGTGCCCTCTTCTGTTGAAAAGTCATCCTCTCTGAGGCACTATGGGACTTCTGCTGCAGAAAGAGGTGAAGAGGCTTCTTGTTAATGCACATACACTTGTTGGGTTTTGAGAAGTCCCTTAGACTATCAGACACGCACAGACGCAAAAAGGAATTTTATAGTAACTTTAATCTACATGCAATTCCACACTGGAATTATTTTTTTTTTTTTAATGCAAAGATGTGAATTGCACACTTCATCTTGTTGGAATAAAGTTCATCTGCCAGCTTTGGGAGGAAAAAGGAAATGATTCCTCTCTTTGAAGAGGGATGCCCATAGTAACCCTGTAGTGAGAGACACGGATGTCTCTGATGTAATTCGGTAACATGGAAAGGATTACATAGAAGTCTAAGCAGATATACAAAGTGCCAGCGTGGGGGAAAAAAGGGGGTTTGCCATAGAATTAAACAACTTAAACTTAATTACACTTCTTATGCTACAGTAGGCACACATGCTTGGCATCTCCTGATAATAAGGTCACCTCCAAACTCAACTGCAGATTGCTATTTGTCATTTTGCTATTTCTTCACTGATACTCGTACCTACAGGTTGCTACCTACTGGAAGTTTCAGGGGATTTCTGCTTATCTCTACGTTACCCAGCAGAACAACAGCCAGTGTTGCAAGATGTTTCTGTAGGCCAAACCATAGTGTGATGCAAAAAGCATGCTGTGGTTATTCACCAATGCAGAAACAAGATAAGTAAGTTTCAAGAAGGCCTAAGAACACAGAAACAGCCACTTGTCGTCTATAACTCCATCAGTACACTCACAAATATTTTCAGCCTTATGAATCTTATTAGATGTGAAAGAACATAGCTTGGTCTAAGCTTCACTACCTAAAAGATTAGACTGGCAATTAAGGAGATATGCCACAGAAATATCTTGGAATGTTGCAGTCTGGAAAGTCATCAGCACATTGTAGCTGTGCCAAGTACATGTCCAAGGTAAACACAAAGTGGCAATGTCCATACAGTTAAAGTTGGTTTTTTTTTTCCCCTTGTCAGCACTTTTCACTTGGATTACATGCACTGGATAACTGTACATACAGAGAAGCAGCATTCTGTGTATGAGAAAGAAGCAATTTTTGAGTTCAAGAGTTGTAATAAAACTAATGTGCCGTCAGGGAAGAAAGGTAAGTTCTCCTGCTGAGCATGGAATTGCTTCCTTTGTGTTACTCTACTCTTGGCCCTAGGCTTTTCCCAGCTGGGTCCCTGCTCCGTCCTAGAGGCTGTCCACCTATACACCAGGTCAGTCTCTTCTCTGCCCTGGCAAGATGCATTCCATAGGAGGAACACCATCTCTAGTTTGCTGGTTTCAGGATTAGAGGATCTAAAGGTGAAAGCCCTTTACCTGAATCTTCAGCAGCATTCCCAGCATTATTATGCTGTTCGGATGCATTGCTACAGCTTGGTGGAAGAAGGAAATTTACACTACAAAGCCCACTATCACAGAGCAAACAGGAGTGGAAGAGCAATATCTTAGTAGGCCCACGGTTATTTATTTCTAACAGCCATGTATGAATTCCTGGTGTGAAGTATTTTAAATGTTTTGCATTTCTGCTTCCTTAAAAGCACACAGCTAAGTTCAGACAGGGGGACAGGAGCAGAGAAATGCTGATATTTCAATCTAGAGAAGGATGCAATAAGTTTATTGATATATGCAGAAATATCTAGAGCTTTAAACATTTCCCAGTGTGGGAAACTTAACTATGACAGCATCTTTTCTACTGGCTGCAAAGCCAAAGCTAGTCAAGTCCACCTGTGTCCAGAGTAAAAAGGCATAAAGACATGAAATTATTTTGTACATCAACAGCCAACTATTAAGCTATTTGAACACTCAAATGATGTGTAACTAAGCAACCTTCAATTGTCACTTACACCTAAGGATTTTATTCAACATTTTAGACAATGAATTTAAGTCAACATTTTAGAACATATCAGCCTACATATTGCACACCTTATTCAATCACAGCTGCAATTTTCCTGTTTATTTTCTTGTACAGAATTATGACATGGCTTATTATTGGACGAACTATGTAACTTTAATGAGTCTGCAACATTTTCAAAAGAAAAAAAAAATTGGCAAGCCTTGCAAGCACAGCACTCGTTACTTTGCAAGTAACTAAGCAAGGTACATAACCTTTACATTTAAAATAAACAAATACATATATGTATAGCGCTACTGAATTGTTTTATCTTGCTAATTATACTAGATATACTACTGGTTTAGTTTAAGTAACAAATGAATTCTTATCCCACGCCACAGTACCTCAAGTTTCTTTGCAATTTTGGCCCAGTCCTCTGGCGTCATGTTGGAAGAATCAAGCAGTGGCGAGAGCTCCAGGATTGTGTAAAAAATTCTTTTGTTTTGCTTAGATATACTATGAAGAAAGAGAATTGGGAAAAAAATGCTTAGAGCTAATATCGGCTCATCACTTCTGATTTTTTCTCCAAATCAGTAGTTTTCACCCTTTTCCTCCCCATCCCCCAAGTCTATGGCAAAAAAATGGTCTTAAATTTGGAATATTAAGTTTCAAGTTTAGAAGTTCATGGTTTGATGTGGTTTAAAGCATAAATCCCTGAATTTGATTTAATAATAAATATAATTTGGGAGGCAGAAAGGGGCTGGCAAAACTAAAGACAGAAAAGAAGAACCCAGACTTTGTTTAAGTTTGGAACTGAGTTCTAACAAAAGCCTTAAGGTTTAAAAACGCTTCATAAGCTATTGGGAGGAATCTATAAAGCTCCCAAGGTTTATAGGAGGTCAACAGAAGAGTTGCCACAACATTTTGATCCTTCAATAAATATAAATAGATACCCTATAAACAGATACTCTTTCCTGACACAAAGGGTATCTTCTTTCAAGAGTCTTATGACTGGGATTCATTTTTGTGGCCTTTAGAAGATCAACTCTTCTCAGTTTCTCTGACCTCAAATTTCAGAAAAAGCCTCTCTTGGTTAGTTAAGATCTTCAGGTAAACTGTTGCCTTTGCTAGTAATACGCTAACTTTGTAAAACCCCAGTCCCAGCTTATTAGACCTGTTGTCAGCTTGTTATGAAAGTTTGCTATATGGCACCAGCTCTTTCTTGTTATGATGTAGAGCTTAAGCATGTGGTAATAGCAAAGATCTTAAAATACTGGCATGCATTGAAAACAGAGGCCTCAGGACTATAAACAACTCAGTGGTGATCAATTATTGGCCACTGAACAAGTGCAACCTTAACAGCTGGCAAAAGACTGCTCTAAGTACAATAAAAACAAGACAAAGCAACTATCCAAGGAAAAAACCCCAAACCAGAACAAAAACAGTCAAGCAATAGGATAAAGTACCTTTGGGCTAAGGAATGTAACACTTTCAAATATCATACAGTGTGTACACCAGCAGATGGAGACCAAAGATTAAAAAGTGTCTAGACACTCAAGCTGCTTATAACAGTACACAATCCCAAACCTGGAGGGGACTTATCAAAAGCGATGATGGCTATGGAATCACAGTGGGAATGTCCTAGCTCTAAGCATGTCTGTTCTCCCTGCCTTCAAGGACCACAGATCTCCCTTTCTCCACCTGCCTGTCTCAAGAAATGTGACTCTTCAAAGACCTGTGATTTTCCAGCCAACTGGACTGCATACAGAGCATGTGTTTTACCTCACAAAACATGCTGATTTCTCCACATTAACTTTCTAACCTCTCAGAATAAAGTCAATTTATATGTTGGCAGTTAAGATGTGGGGTAATAAAATAACCCTACTACTAATATTTTCTGTTACCTTTCTGAAGCTTGGAAGAGGATGGAATATCCACCATTTTCACCCATTCTTATGTTAGTTGGAATATGTTCCTATTTAGCAATGCAGTGGCCAACAAACAGCTAATGAAGAACTGCTAGCGGGCCAGCCCTGCCCTTCCTACTCACTCTTCCAGGCAAAGCCATCCTGAGCATGTTTAACAGCATCATCTTCAGAGTATTCTCAATGCTTTTCCACTGCCTGAGGATGATGGAAAGTTCCCTGCCAGCTGTTAACTGTGATAGATACTTCAACATTTACACTGGAAGACAGTCAATGGCTATAGAAAAGACCAAGATACTGCATGGATGCATAAAAGTTCCTGAAATAAAGTGCTCAGAGCACAGAAGAGTTTATTACCTTTCCTTGGCATTCACAATAGTGTTTTGTTCCCACTTGCTATTGTATATATTTACAGAAATGTAAGATATGCAAAAACAAGAGTCAATTATCAATTCATGATCTAATAAAATCTGCAGACCCGCTCCCCTCCTGAGGCCTGTAAGACAGTTGCGTACAGCAGAGAGAGCTTTAAACAATATGTAGTTTTCATTCACAACCAACTGACATACTGTACTGTCCTGGTTCCTGGTGGAACTATCACACGTGCCTAAGAAGTTAGACTTAATATGAAAAATTGCTTTGTTGGATATCACATTTACACTTGCTAAGAGTAACTTGGGAAGTCAGTTGGAAATCTGAAAATGAAGCTCCCCTGAGGATGTGCTGTTTAAATAAAATAGGACATATCAAAACCAGGGTCCAGCCTAGTCTATGACTTTTGATGCCTCACTCTAAAAAGAGATCATATCGTTCCTTTTACATCAAGGTTATTACACAGATATACAAAGTTCACAAAATACTCCTATTTTCTCCCTTTAGAAACTCAATATTTCTCAACTGCCTAGTTAAAATATCACTCGGCTAGCACAAAAGAGAAAATGGCAAATTGCCATGACTAACCTCCAGAAACAGCACTCAGCAGTGCCAGAAAAACAAGACAAGATTGTTTTTTAAACCTCAGTTTTTGATGTGAATCATTGTTTTAAGCTTTCCTGTTCTTCATGGAAAAGATGTGCCATGAGAAGTATATTTAGGACTCAAATGGGTATATTAGTGCAGTTTTGTTGTATTTAAAATCCCTTAAAGTATTTAAAAGTTATTCAGTTATAAGCACAGTATTGTAACAGAGCTCCATTTTTCTTAGTATAACCACCGTATGTAACACAAACTGTATGTTCACATCAATACTACTCCACTGGGAGTCCATTTCTTTTCTCCTCACCCCTTTTCCTGCCATCTGCCTTTTAAGTGGTTACTTTTAAAAGCTTTACACAGAGACCTCAATACAAAATAGAAAGAAATTAATAAACTTTACATTTGGTTTGTATGTCCTGATTTTCTCCTTAAAGATTAAAGAACAGCTGTTTTTACTCTTATAGCAAAACAGCTTTAGTCCCATTTATTTTTGAATGACTGCGTAAAATCACCCTTTGTGCAAAGTTAACGTGTTTACAGGGGTACAGTCATTCATCACAGCTAGGGAATATCTCAAATTAGCATACTGCCCTCTAAATAAAACCTATAAGCTTATTAATCATTGCCCAACAGTTAAGAAGCAATGCAGATTAATTATAAACCCATCACTTATTATCATAATGCTGCATAAATTTGGGAAAGACAATCAGCTTTTAGGGTTTTTATAAACAGACAGCCTGCAGAATTAAAGCATGAGGCCTATTCACAGGTGCATTAATTAGATGCTACTTTTTCAGACATATGCTGAAGATAATTCACACAGAGCTGTATATACAGGTTTTTTAGTTTTTATAGAATATTTGTATCTTTGCACAGTAGCAAATTAATATCCAAAACAATAAAAAAAAATGCAGGACTAAGCTACACAGAATGATAACTTAAAAGTTATTTCTCAAGCAGTTGTAAGACACTTCATGGCAAATATATCAAAACAGACATTTTCTATTGTGCCTGACATGGTAGGCTTTTTCCTCTTAAGTCATATAAGCATTTTCGCTAATCTCATAATGGATTCTTCCCATTAAATGTTTGAAGATGTAATTATCTCAAAATTAACAAGATACTTCCTAACCCTCCCTCTCCCCAAGGAAAATAGACTTACGGGAGTACCAACGTGTTATCTGGAAATTCATGGAAGTTGTTCAGTTTTGTTTCCTGGGCATATGCCTCGTCATGCAGCATCGGCATCGTTTTCAGGCTGCTTACTAATTTATTGGCCTCAGGAGCAAGTCCTTAAAAATAAGGAATAAAGGAAGTAAATAAAGGAGCAGGGATGGAAAGAAGCGAGGGCATAATTAGGATGGAAGAAGTCAAGTTAAACAGCTGCTTGTCCAGCCTTCCAAATTAAACAGTCTATTGCCAGTTTAAGAATGTGAAAACAGAATATAGCCAGTAAATCTCCATGCAGTTATTCTTTTATTGACTTGAAACAAATAAATCCTTTATTTAAGAGAAATAATGGTACAAATCTCCTCCATATCAAATATTTATGTTTTACCTACTTTCAATTTTTGCTTCTGTGCAAATACCAGGGGCAGGAAGCCAATTTTTGCAACTGTAGCAAAAAGCTACCATTCTCTATTACGTTTGCCACAGCTATTCTCTATCCAGCAGCAGAAGACTTAGAAAACACTGAGCATTATTTTGTACTATGAAGTTGTGATATTTTTACCTAAGCTTCTTAGCTTGCAGCAGCTTACAGCTTATGGCACAAACAGTCAGGTACTAATGCGCCTGTGCTGGAAAGCTGCATGTTATGTCTCACTGTTAATGGCAATAGAATTTCCATAGAGAAAAAAATAAATGAAAGGGAAAGCTAAAACAAACTCCATAGTAGGTATTGAGCACTGACAGATACAGACAAAAATCTCTCTCTATATAAAGATAAAGAAACCTCAGCTTCCCAGAAGAATCTTAATTAAGTGTTCTAATCACTCCCTCTTGAAGAGGTACTTTCCACCCTTGAATAGGGACTTTCCACCAGCCAGTTTAGGACTGAACATGTCAATTGACAAGAGGCAGAGAATGTGCATAAACTGCTGAATAGAAAAAGCTGAAAGCATCTTAAGCTCTGTTCACCCTCTCCATGCCTGTGATGTTGTCTTTCTCTTTGTGGCAGGGGCCCTAAAATGGTTGGGGCTTAAACTAGCATAAGTACAGTTAGTGTTTTCTGGATCTGCAGGTGTCCTGGTTGCAAGCAGGTATTTCAAAGGGAATCTGCATGCCATTCTCTGTTAGCCAGAAAGGCACCTACATTTTTGATGTTACAATCCTCAGCATCATAGAACTGATTTCATTTGTGAATCTAATTTGCAACTCAGCTCCCAATACCCTGTTTCAGGAAGGCCAGCAACAGTCCTGATGGCCAGAGTCAGACACCACCCTGTTTTTCTTAAATCTGACTTTTTGAGACCTTTTTTATTAAAGGAACTTCCATCAGAGGAATTTCCTTCTGGATTTCAAGATTCTACTGGTGTTACTGTCCAGTTCAGTTTAATCTCTGTGAATGTGTTTTATACAACCGGTTCAGATGGTGAACAAATCCTCAAACCTCATTATTCTACTCTGCTAGTTCCAGTTATTCCTAATTTGAGGCCAGGTAATTCTCTCCCACTTCCCAGTTCTTCTGTTTAAAAACAATTCTCATCCAAGTTAGCATCTGTATTTTTTTTATTTCATCTTCAAACAAAATTTATTTAAAATACTACAAAACACAGAGTATTTTCAATCGTATTTATATTTTTTTCCATTTACTTTCCAAACTGATGGAAAAATCCTGAAGAACTCCCTAAACTCCCTCCTGGCTTGCCTTAAATGAAGTAGCAGGTCCTTTCATAGCCAACTTTCTCACAGGATGGCAACAGTATTTGAGTGGATGTGTTTGGATTCCTGCCAGAATACTTTGTTTTACAAAATATATTATTTAACACACTTCCAAGGTTTGGATGTTTCATTCATTCAGCTGTAATCCCTGCTTTTCCTATTAAGGATGTTCCTAGCTTAGTCACAAATGGCCACTTCTGCTGCGCTTGGGCATAGAGTCATTTTGGCTCTGAGATGCAGCCCAGTTTCAAGTGTTTTCTGATTATTCTTCTGTTTGTCCAATGCTCATCTTGCTCTGAATATTGACAATAGATTAGTCTGTTTATTTTTTGTATTTGCTCTCAGAACTAGAGAGCTGATGTACGTTAATATTATTAAATCCCTTCTCTATAAATGGCAGCTCCTCATCTCTTAATCACAAATCCATCAGGATTTTTATGTAATTGCTTGTACTGAACTGAAAGCTTTTTCTTTTCCTTAGACATTTTGCAGGTGTATCCAAGAGGACTCACTTACAACCCATACAGACCCTGAAATGCATCCACATTTAGCAGTGTTTTCTGCTTTACAGTTTCAAGAAGCAAACATGGGGGAACACAAGTGCAACTGTTTTAAGAACACTTCTACTTTATTATACATTGAAAACATCTTTTGTGAGCCAAACTTGTTAACTAAGTATCTGAAGCAGCTTCACCCCTGCAGAGAAGAGGCAGGCTGTGCAACTTGTCCAAATGGCTCTCATCAACTTCTGTCCTTTCCTTCTTTAGCTGGGCCAACCCCAGCATCACAAAGCAGACAAAGGCAGAACAGCAAACAAGTAACTGTGGCCGAGGACAAGTTCTGTCTCAACTACAGTAGAGGACTCTGCTTTCCACTCTGGTGCTACAGATAACACAGTTATAGCTACTTGCCAATCGATATCCTATAACCTGTCCTGCAGCAGTGAACAGGGAGCTGGAAAAGTCTGATGCAGCTGTTTCAGTGAGGTTTTGCATCCAAGAAACCACAGGCACTGGGGAGAAGCAGCATACTGTACATCAGCATGCTGAAGTCATCATCCCCAATCCTAACAAACTCTCCATGCTGAGGAATACAAAAGACTTTGCTAAATCAGTTTTTACCTATAGGAATATCAATACAAATGGCACACACATCTATAGTGCCAGGTTCCAAAAGTAACAACTACATTTTGCAGAGGCAGAGAAGGAGGAAGTGTTCTCCAAAATACTCATTTCTGCAGCTGCAGTACTTCAAGTTTTTGGAAGTGAGGTGTATAGGTTTCAAACAGAAAAAGGTTTGGACCACAGCAGCGAGTCCTTTGGCAGTCTAGCATGTCTAGAAAAGGCAGATAATTAGCCAAGTTACCCAGGCAGACTCTATTCCAAGATAACTAATCTTTCTAAGGGGATTTATCTTAGTTCTAATTGTATTTGTTGAGTGTTTTTTTTTCTTAATATTCCAGGTAAAAGCTAGGAAAGAGATCCATCCCACAAGCCCAAAGAAAAGATCTTCCTGAAGGCACCAGCCAGGAGGAAAATGAGCACAAACTTGATGCAAAGATTAGTATCACAGTAACCTCACTAAGGAGTGCAGAAAGATTCTCTTTCTGAAATGAGCTACCAATAAGCCAAAAAAGGCTGTTGTAGGAGAAAATAAGTAGGAGGAAGTAGAAGGAAGAAATTTTAAAAATGCATTGATGTTGCTTATTTGACAGTGAAAACATGAATACTGAGAGAGTCTGCAAGTGAGTCTGGTTGTCACCAAACCCACAGAAACAGACTATCCATCCTCTGAAAGTGACTGCTGCACAGGTAACCTGTAGGTCTGCAGAAAGTCCAACAGGTCCAGGACATGCTGGAGTTGCAACACATGCACAGGTCAACTGCAGAGAACCTCTGCAGGAGGTTTACAATCAGATCTTGTAACAAGAAATAATGCTTCCATACATGCACAATGAGCCCAGGGAATGCCATTGTATCAGTCTTGTACATGGGAGCAGTTCTGCACAGGAACATATTCCTTGCAGAACACATTAGCCCTAAAAATAATCTGATTTTTAAAGTTAAACTATCTTACCCAGCAACAGGAAAGGCCATAGAAAAGCTTGTAAGCCTAGACAGAAATTAGGTAGAAATGTAGCTTGATCCCTTCACTTTGAGCAGCTGCTGTTATGAAAGGTTTTGTGCAGCTCATGGAGGCTACTTCTGTTCACCTTGCTTGAAATAAAATATTTGTAGTTTAGGTATGGTTGTAAACAGGCACTTTCTAGCCAGTGATCAATAAAAGAAATGAGTATCTATTGTTTTTTCCTTTGAAACATGCTGCCTTTCCCATGCCCTTTCACCAGCTTCTGTGTGAACACTAAAGACTGCCAAACATTCTGAAAGAGGTACTCTGGCTGCTCTGCTGCTAGATCTGCGTATGAAAAGCAGGTTGACACCCTCACCAGGATGCAGCAAGTCAGCATCATTGGATCATAACTGTTCGACTGTTTGTACACGATTGACACTTGCTAAGCAAAAGGGATTTTAAAAAAGCATATGAGAAAGGGTTATGGAGTTCATTTATAAAGGAATGTGACATTATTTTAATTTATTTGCTTAAAAAAAGGTGTTTGGAAGCTGAGACAATAGAAGTAGGAAGTTATTTTAGTACAAACAATGCAGACAGAGAGAGGAAAGTCATCACATGCCCTTTAAAATACAGACTACTTTTTTTTTAAATGCAACTTTGATAGATTAAACATAAAGATGACAGCCATAAAAAACAAAGCATAACAAACCCATAAAGCATCTCCCCTACACTGAGGATCAGTCAGCCACCATCTTCTGAGAAGGAGGGATATGCAAACCTAGTCTAGGAAGCTCTGAGGTGAAGCCCTAAGTGTTCTGACCCTACAAATGAGTAGCTGAGATGGTATCTCAGGCAAGGGCTTGAAATTCTGTAGTAGGGAACACAAGTACCCACGCTTCTAAACCGAGACAGACACAGGCTCTGGAAGCCCTCAGATGCTCCACCGCTTCCCAAGTGAAGGAGGAAGGAAACTGAGTAGGCGTTCATTGAAATTGGACTGCTTCCCTCTCCCCCTTTATACCAATGCTGGTAAACGCACAGCCCTGCAGCAAGTCAGACCTGGCTGAAATCTCTTTTCCCCACACACATTAGTTGGCTGATGCTTCTGGCATCCCCTGGGAAATGTGCCTACTGAGTGAGGGTCTAACAGTGCTTAGGTGCCACTCCAACCAGCTTCTGGATTGGGAACTGGGGTGGGGGGAAGTGTCAGGTGAGTTTAGGCACCTACCTCCTGACATTTATGGGCATTCAGGTAAAATGCAGGCAATATCCTGAAAAAAACTCAAGAGTTCAGTTTTGGATTTAAACAATTTTCAGCTGGTGGGAGGGGGTTTGG